GGGCTTCACGGGAGCTGTAGATGGGGAAGGTGCATCTTAAAGATGATGGAGCAGCCACTGCTGCTGCTACTGGTGCTGTATCTGCTGATGGCGCTGATGACGATGTGGCAGCCACTGCTGCAGCTGGCGCTGTATCCGCTGCTGATGATGATGCTGGTGGAGGTGTTGAACCTCTGGAGTCGGTGGAGATGGTCGTGATGTCTGTTCAGAAGTAGCCTTTTGCTTCTTCCTCCCTCTCAACGCGCTGCGCAGTCTGAGGTCTTGGGGCAGATGTAAAGTTATCCATCAAAACTTTTACTCCGTATTCAAATGTGGGCCTTTTCCTTCAAAAAGCTCATGCCTATTCCAGAACAGATTAAAGTTCTCAATGAATCCTAGTCCTCTGCGTGAGCACTCGTTGAGTAGAAATGTATTTGGCTGGTACAGATGACTTAACTTCTCGATTTTTCCATCTGTATTTGGAAGGGGTCCACTGATAAGAATGTCTATGTCAATTTTTTTGAGGTCGTCCAGTAGCAGAGTTAAATCCCTTCTCAACTTCTCGCTCGTCTTCTCATAGATGTCTACCGCTCCCGTGTGGATCAAAAATTTACCAACACCACGGTTTTCCGATAACAGTTTCGGCACAAGAGCTCTTATCTCAGAAACTTTTGCTGAGTGCACAGAATAAGTGTGAATAGAATTCCTGTTTACGATTCCGTACGGTGCTATCTCCAAGCAGAAAACACCGTGGCCTTGGCAGAGGCGCTGAATCTGACAACAACTTTGCTTCTTCAAAAAAGAGCAGCATAACGGTTTGAAGTCTTCAAAACATTTTTTTGTGGCAAAATTCCACTCCAATGGTCATTCTTAGCTTTGTCAACTGTGTGTTTGGCTCCGCATTTGTTCCAGTGGTTCTCTTTGTTGATTTTCGGAAAAGAAATTACGTCATCGTAACTTACATTTCCGAGAGTCTCTCCATTTATCCCATTTTCACACATTGGAAGAGTTCGGCTAACTCCCATTTTTGTTTCCAAAATATCCATCCGTTTTTGGAGCGATTTGAGCTGATATTCCAGAGCACTACAGCCATCACAGACTTTACTCTGTTTCTTCCGTCCAGACATGACTGAAGTTGACAAATTTAAACAAAGCTGAAGTCTGTAGAATGAGTAATCCGTGTTTTGTAGAATAAAAATGTAAATAATAAAAAAAAAAAGAGATTACAAAGCGAACCAAGCGGAGCAGCAAGGACTACACTCTCAGGAGAAGGAGGAAGTGTCTTTCATGTGAAAGATTGACCCTGAAAACCTGGCTAAAAATACATATTTATTGATTTATCATGAAAACTGAGTTAGTGCTTCACACGTAAATGGAAAATTACTTGTAAACTGAAAAAATCATCTCAAAATGTTGACACTTTCCCATACTCAGATTTTGTCCAACTTTTAGTTATGACTAGACCCAGTCTAAGATACCACCAAAAATAAAAATGTTGCAATTTTTTGGGTTAATTAGTATATTGACCCTACTATAACATTATCGAGAGTGATTACTTCTAGGAGTAGGATAACTTCTGTCTTCTCCGGGTTAAGCAGTAGAAAGTTAAGAGTCATTCATGCTTTTAGGTCTGATGTCTGCTGTTGTTGTGTCCTTGGGCAAGACACTTAACCCCACTTTGCCTGAATCCCCTGCTGCAGGCTACACTGCCACTGACTGCAGCCATCCTCCTGTGGACTCACCACCTTCAGGAGGATCAGTGAGGGGCTTGCCCAGAAATGGATTAAGGGGAAGAAAATGGATGGATGGATTTTGCAAAAATGTACTCCCTAATCTGTTTAAAAAGCAGCCATTATATGAAATAGAACAGCATACTAAAATCCATATCTGACCATTCCTATTTAAAGTAGTTGTCTGGAACTCAAAATGAATTACAAATTTTAAGAATTCCATTAAATTGACCTCCTGGGCTTCAATGTTGAAATAAAATAAGTCATTTTATGAGTTATTATATTACGGGTAAATCCCGCCTTCCCTTCTCTTAGCAATAGCTCAAAATCCAAAAAGGTAAGATACTTATACAAACGATTTATTTTGTGCCCATATTATGCGTTATGTAAGGGATATATTACGCAGGTCATTATCGGAAAATAATTGCCGACAGGGTCTGCATCTTCTTTCGCCGCTTATTATACGGCTCCTCACAGCAGCAGTAGAATGCTCCATTGATTTGAATGTAATTTCAAAACGTTCTACCGGTCATTATTTTCTATAACGGACCTCTCAAAACAATAATGACCGCTGCCCATGGCAACGCACTCTCTGCTTGTCTTTCAAATGCGTGGATAACTCCGCAAGTAGTTCCGGCCACTCCGGAGCTAGCCACGCTCAATCAACACACTTAAATGTTAATCGGAGAATACTTATACATATACATTCTTCACACACGTGCACGGAAATTTTCAGAATTTTCTGGTCTTGTCTTCATGACAAAAATACTTTTTCTCTGCGTCAAAAAGCGATTGTGAAAAACTCGGAAGTAGTTCCGGCCGCTCAATAAACGCAAATGCCAATCAATCAACGCAATGAAATGTTAATCGGAGAGTAATGTATACATATCCAGTCTTAATACAAGTGCACGGAAGTTTTCAGAATTTTCCGTTTACGTTTTCATAACAAAAACACTGATGTAATGCGAGAAAATGCAATCCCGAAAAACCCGGAAGTAGATACCGGCACATTTTAAGATACCGGCACATTTTCGGACACATTTGCAGAGGATCGAATTATGGATTTAGGTTAGGTTTATGTATGGGTCACTCACCGCTGATGTTCAGAATTCTTTGTTCAGTTTTCATGCAGTTCCAGGGAGTTCTAGTTTGGAAGTTGCCAGCCTAACTGTTGCACTAGCATAGCCACGGGAAAACCTTTGGGAACTATTTTATTTTCTGTCATTAAATAAACCTTTCGGCATTCCTAAAAGTGGACTGAAGTTTATGTTGTGTGTTCTGTTGGTATAAAGCCGTATAATAAGCGGGATAATGTATTTTACGCAGGTCATTATCGGAAAATAAGTACCGACAGGGCGAAGCTTCCGCCCTGAATATACGTTATCCCTTACTTATACCAACAGAACACACAACATAAACTTCAGTCCACTTTTAGGAATGCCGAAAGGTTTATTTAAAATAAGAAAGAATAAATAGTTCCCAAAGGCTTACCCGTGGCTATGCTAGCAACAGTTAGGCTATCAACTTCCAAACTAGAACTCTCTGGAACTGCATGAAAACTGAACAAAGAATTCTGAACATCAGCAGTGAGTGACCCACACATAAACCTAACCTAAATCCATAATTCGCATATGTGTCCTAAAATGTGCCGGTATCTGTGTCGGGATCGCCTTTTATCGCATTACATCAGTGTTTTTGTCAACCAGAGGAGTGAGGCCCGAGTGACATAGCTGGGTCAAATGCAGAGAACACATTACCCTACAGAGATACTGTACATAAGTGTCTTAACGGAAAATTCTAAAAACTTCCGAGCACTTGTATTAATAATGTATTTGTATAATGTACTCTCCGTTTAACATTTAATTGCGTTGATTGATCACGATCGCTTTATGACGCAGAGAAATAGTATTTTTGTCATGAAGACAAGACCAGAAAATTCTGAAAATGTCCGTGCACGTGTGTGAAGAATGTATATGTATAAGTATTCTCCGATTAACATTTAAGTGTGTTGATTGAGCGTGGCTAGCTCCGGAGTGGCCGGAACTACTTGCGGAGTTATCCACGCATTTGAAAGACAAGCAGAGAGTGCGTTGCCATGGGCAGCGGTCATTATTGTTTTGAGAGGTCCGTTATAAAAAATAATGACCGGTAGAACGTTTTGAAATTACATTCGAATCAATGGAGCATTCTACTGCTGCTGTGAGGAGCCGTATAATAAATATTTTTAATGCAAAGTCTGATATCGTTTACACTTACATATAAATAAAGCTGAGAAAATAAGCTTTAAAATAATATATAGCTTGTGGCTTATGAAGTTCGAAATACATCTGCTATTGCCAGCAGATGTATTTTTTTTCTTGCGATCTTAAGTACAGGTAAGTCAGTTGTCATGCATTATACATGTGTCTTGGATTCCTCTTAGCCCTGTTTAAGACTCCAAGTTTTGGCCACATTTATTACATTGTATTGTCCTGATGGTATACAGTACACTAAAGTCAAATCTCGTGTGAGGCCAAGTGGGATGCAAACAAATATTTGTTCCATGTGTCATTTCAATGTTTTTGTTCATCAGACAGACTAATAGAGCAAAACTCCATCACAGTTGGACAGAGATAATCTCTAATCCACTTAAATCCTCGATCACCACTTTCACAAAAGGATGAATCATCAGACAAAACTTATGAGGTAGTGAGTCCACTGTTCAGAGCCAAATAGCGGAGCACATTTAAAGACATGTAGTGTCACAATTGCACTACACAACTATAATGTTGTGGGTTTGATTCCCATTATCTCCCTAAATCTGGGTGGGTTTCCTCCTGGCGCTCCAGTTTCCCCCACCACCCAAAACATCCACCATAGGAAAAAATCTCCCAGGATGGGTCAAATGGAGAGGTCACATTTGTCTGTGGGGACGTTAAAGTACACCTTTTCCTTCTGTACAATGACATAGAAACATTAAAAAAAAAAAAAAATTGCTTGCAGCCTTTGGGTAGAAATTACACTTACACCAAGACTGTAGACTCTAACTCCAGATGAAAGTTGTGACTGCAGGCATTTCCCTCAGCTTCAATCCCATGTGCAGAGGCATAAGGCCATTTCAACTTATTTGGTGTGCACGCCTGGAGAAGCAACAGCTGTGTGTTCATGAATGCACATTGACTCCACAGGGAAGGGTTTTGCTGCTCAGGGAGGTGCTGTTAAACTTCCACACCGCTGTGCATTTGGATCAATGCTTTCAGATCGATGCTTTTCTGTCCGTCTGAATCTGTCTCCTGTGTTTGGTGTCTACAGTCGCCGGCTGACCGCTGTAAGAAGATCCATGCGGGAGACGAAGTCATACAAGTCAATCACCAAACTGTGGTAAGAGTTTGTTGGTGACATATCTATTTTCAGAGGGGACTACTGTAGTTGTTATGCATTATTTGTCTTCAGTTTGGCTCTATAACCTGATCTTGAGAGCATTTACGTTGGCATTTCTTGTTTAGAATAAGTATAATACAAAACATGCCGTAATTTATAACTACTCAAAACTACTTTAATTTTAAAATCAATGTGTATCTATCAAACGGATTGAGGGATGCTTTAAAGAAGTCTAAACCTGATGATAAAATAAGTACTATAGAAGTATGTGGAGGAAAGAGAGAAAAGGCCTTCAGCACAGGGCGAATAGTGGGGCATGGATGTTGGGTCAGAGAGTATTTTGGATAGTGTATTTGTGTGTATGCGCATGTGTGTGTATAATGTTTCTTTTGTACTACTCAACCATTGTGTTAAAATTGTGTTGAATTTGTCACGTGAGGTGAGATGGAGCAAGGACCCAAAATGCAAGAATGCAATAAATGATGATTTAATGATAAATAAACCAAATTCCAAGGAAAAAACAGAAGTAAATCTGGAAAATGAACCACAGAACTAATATCAAAATAAAATTCATTACAAAAATAAAGTCTGCACCATGACAGAGTTGGTGTCTTGAAAGTGGAAAAACAAGATGACCCAAAGTGCAGGGATGCAAGATAATATTGTTTATGGATGGTATAAAAGACCACGTTAAAACAAACTAAAATATCCGAACGGAACACAGGGACCTGGAAAACAGATGGACATAGACAATGGACCAACAGCAAAAGAGGGGGAATACATTTGACCCAATCCATTTAAAAGGGAACTATCCTTATTTTTATTTTTTTACTATTTTTTCTATATAAAACACATTACAAACATGCAAACTCAACATCTGGAGCTGGGGAGCCGATGTCCGTAAATTCAATCCATTTTGTCAAACCACCTCCAGACTTTTTGGTTCTGTCTTCTTATACTGTTGTGATCTTTAATTTCATGGTAGTCACTTTTAAGCTTCTCTGCACTGCGATGTCCGTGATATCCATTCCTCCCTCCCCAGCCCTACCTTGACTAAAATTATATACACTCATTCGGGTGGCACCAACAAGCTCAAAATGAAGGTGTGATCGCATTCGCAAACCGGGTCGAGCCATAGATCCATGCGTCGAGCCCGTGGAAACGGCCTTAATGTCCGCAAATGTTCATTTCTTGAAGAATGCTCCTCATCTTAATGGACGTCGGAGTCCTCAAAACGAAAATCACTGTCATAACGACGCAAGGGCTCAAAGAGAAAAACCCCTGCAAAAAAACAAGTCAGTAACTCTGATATGTCACATTTGAAATCAAGTGTGGGGCGACAGTAGCTCAGTTGGTAGAGCATTGGCCTTCAGGCCTGAAGGTTGTGGTTTCATTTCCCACCTTGACACCTTCTCCACCGACTCCCACTGATGACTGCTGTCGTTGTGTCCTTGGGCAAGACACTTAACCCCACTTTGCCCAAAAGCCCCCACTGAAAGATCAAGGCTATGCTCGCACTCAGAGAGCAGCCGTCCTCCTGTGGACTCACCACCTGCAGAGGATCAGTGAGGGGCTGGTGCTATGAGACTTGGGTGGCATCTCTGATTACCACCCCCCTGACCCAGAAATGGATTAAAGGGTAGAAAATGGATGGATGGATGGATGAAATCAAGTGTATTTAAAGAGAAAGGGGGGAAACGTTTTTGTGCCAAATCATGTGAAAATGATGGAGCTATATCTATCCACGTCTGTTTTTGATGAGAGAATAATGTCGTATCACATTTAAAAATCTGAACTAGATATTTTTGTTTTATATATCTCCTTAAATAAATGTTTAAAGATCAATTCAAACACATTAATTATTCATTGATTATTTGTTCTAATCATCTATGTTTATGGCAATAACAAGATGGTTACAATATATAAATTGAAATGTTTTTGAGCAATAAAAACAGAAGCACTGAAATATGTATATAAAAACTAAGTATGTACGTTATAATGTATTAGCTGTTGAATATGGGAGGTGTTCCGGGCACGTGGGAGGTGTTCCGGGCACGTTCCACCGGTAAGAGGCCCTGGGGAAGACCCAGGACACGCTGGAGGGACTAGGTCTCTCTGCTGGCCTGGGAACGCCTTGGGGTCCCCCCGGACAAGCTAGAGGAAGTGTGTGTGGATAGGGAAGTCTGGGCCTCTCTGCTTAGACTGCTGCCCCCGCGACCCAGCGACGGATGAAGCGGAATAAAATGGATGGATGGATGGCTGTTGAATAATGCAGCCCGCGGAAATTCAATTTGGTAGACTACCTGCTGCAGCTCATCCCATCCAGGCTGGCCTTCTTACCTTCGGCCTATCCCACAGCAAAGCCTATTCCCTGCCGACTTATGCCAGCCAAGCCAGCTGCTTAAAAGCGGAAACTTTCATACGACAGCTCTTTTCAAGCCTCGCAAGGTGTTTGGTCTGGGGGAGTCCGCATCTTCATTGCAGCGCCTCTTCTGCCGGCTCATCTTCTGCTAGCGGACAGTCTGGCCTGGCGCTGGTGGGAGTCTGTGGTGCCCTGGGACCCGGGGCGTCTGTTTTGGGCGTAATTTGCTCGCTTTGCTGCTTCCATCCAAAGCAGGCAGCTTGGCTTTCCTGAGCTGCTTCAGGAAGTACATCCTCTGCTGGGCTTCTTGATGAGGGAGCTGATGGTCGGCTCCCACTTGAGATCGTGGTGCGCAGGAAATGAAAGGACTCCACAGAGGTGATGGGGGAGTCCATAAGGGAGGGTGGAGGCAGGGGACTGTGCTCTTCCTGAAGTCCACAATCATCTCCACTATCTTCTGGGCGTTCAGTTCCAGGTTGTTACCACTGCACCAGGACACCAGCCGGTCAACCAGAGGAGTGAGGCCCGAGTGACATAGCTGGGTCAAATGCAGAGAACACATTACCCTACAGAGATACTGTACATAAGTGTCTTAACCTTAACCTATAGGTCAGCATTTACAAATCATCTGTACTTCTTAGCAAGTTTTCCCAACGTTTCGTCCTCAAACCAGCGGACTTCTTCAGGGAATGAATTCTCAGACCGCGCGTTGGAGATTTATAACCTATGGGTGTGGTTAGCCACACCCTAATCCTGATACTAACTCATAAACAATCTAAGGTCTGTTTGATGTAGAAGGGGAGCAGGTCTAACGACCCTGCTGAGGCTAACGGCCCTAACTCATTAGCATGTCACTGACCCTGTCCAGAGTTAGGGCGTTGTTTTTAGGATCGTCGTCATAGATGCGAGGCAAAACAAATCTTAACCCTCCTCCTCTGTTAAGAGAAGGTTTTTGTTTCCTCACAAAAATGGCTTCTTTCACCCCTCTCTCAAACCAATTCTTCTCCCGAGCCAGAATTTTAACCTCTGTGTCATCCACCGTGTGGTTGGAGGCCTTGAGGTGGAGATGAACAGCCGACTGTGGCTCACTCGAGTTTTCTCTACGATGTTGGTAAAGTCGTTTCTGTAGAGTTTGTTTGGTTTCTCCAATATAGTGGTCAGTGCACTCCTCTTCACTACATTTAATTGAATACACCACATTGCTCTGTTTGTGTCTGGGTGTTTTGTCTTTGGGATGCACTAATTTCTGTCTTAACGTGTTGAATGGTTTGAAATACACAGGGATTTTGTGTTGCCTAAAGATTCTTTGTAGTTTCTCTGAAACTCCCGCCACATACGGTAAGGACACCCCTCTTCTTCTACTTTCTTCTGTCTGTTGGACTGTGTCTCTGGCCTTTCTCGTCCTTTGGGCTTTAGTAAAAGACCACTTGGGGTAGCCACATCTGGAAAATGCTTTCTGAAGATGTTTGGTTTCTCTGTTCTTTCCTTCCGAGCTAGTGGGGACCTGGTGGGCTCGGTGTTGAAGCGTTCTAATGACCCCGAGTTTGTGTTGTAGCGGATGATTTGAATCAAAGGCCAGGTACTGGTCAGTGTGAGTGGACTTTCTGAAGACCTCAGTCTCTAATTGTCCGTTCTCCAGTATGATGACCTTACAATCTAGAAAGGTGAGTTCACTCTCCTTAGCATCCTCGCGAGTGAAATTTATAAAAGGGTCCACCGAGTTAATGTGTTCTGAAAATGGTTCCACTTCCTGTTTCTTTAACTTAACCCATGTATCGTCTACATATCGAAACCAATGGCTTGGCGCTGTCCCTTGGTAAGAGACCAGGGCTTGTTCCTCCAGTTTCTCCATATACAGATTGGCCACTATAGGAGAGACTAGGGAGCCCATCTCACAGCCATGAATCTGTCTAAAGAAGGTGCCTCTAAATTGGAAATACGTGGTGTTAAGACACATTTCAAGTATTTCACAGATGTGGTCAGCTGTTAGTTTCGTTCTCTCCCCTAATGTGGCGTCTTTCTGTAGGCTTTCTCTTACAGCCTCCACCGCCTCTGTAATAGGGACCGACGTAAAAAGCGATGTCACATCAAACGAGACCATTGTCTCATCTGTGTCAAACTGGAGGTGTTTGATTTTATTTACAAATTCTTTTGTGTTTTCTATGTGATGGTGGGTGTTACCCACCAAAGGAGCCAGAATGGTTTTGAGGTGTTTAGCCAGGTTGTAGGTGATAGAGTCTATGCTACATACAATAGGCCGAAGTGGAAAGTTTTGTTTGTGTATTTTTGGGAGTCCATAAATACTGGGAATGGTGTCTCCTGGGTAAAGTTTGTAATATAGTGGTTTTTCAATAATGCCCTCTTTCACTAAGCTCTGAAGGAAGTCTATAATCTTTTTCCTAAACCCACTGGTAGGGTCCCTCTTCAATGGCTGGTACGTGTTGGTGTCCAAGAGTAACTGATTAACTTTGGCCTCATAGTCTGAGCTGTTGAGGATAACTGTGCATCTGCCTTTGTCAGCTGGTAAAATAGTTATACTCTCATACTTTTGTAATGCCAATAATGCTTTTTGCTCATCTAATGAGACATTGGATTGTGGGGGCTTCGCACTTTTGAGTGTTGCAGAGACTCTCAGTCTGAGGGCCCCCGCCTCGCTCTCAGTTAGTTTGTTGTTTCTAATGGCTGCTTCTGCTGCCGTGATGTATTCAATTGTAGGAATATCTTTTGGGGTTATTGCAAAATTTAGGCCTTTAGTAAGAACATCTTTTTCCGCTTGTGATAAATGCCGATCGGACAGATTTTTGACCCATTTCTCCCTGTCCACACCTTGTCCAATTTCACTTTTAGAATGTTGAAAATAATTATGGTTTTGGAGTTTTAGAAATTTGCCTATCTGACGTTCTTTGGCCTTCTTGTGATGGTTCAGTTGGGCAGTTTCCGTAAACGTCCAAATCCTCTGAAAAAACTCTGGTGAGACTGCCAATTCCAGTTTGTGCTTAAGGCACTCTATCTCGTCCTTTAGGTTTATAATCTCTATGTTAAGTCGTCGAATTCTTAAATTGCGAATCTTCATACAGTAGTTTTGTTGTATTTTTCTTGCCAACTGGCCTGTTTCTAATGCTTTTTGCTTTAAACATGTTGGGATAAGTTTACTCTGGCTACACCTAAGATTAAACCTAAGATGATTTCTGGCGTCTGCTAATTTTCTTCTGATTTTCTCCAACCCGCGTGCCAAGACCAGGGCGTCTCTCCCAAAGTTGGCAACGATAAGTTTGTGTAAGCCCTCAGTCGTACAGGGATTAGTAAAAGCAAAGGAAGGTTTCTCACCCATCATCTGTACTTCTTAGCAAGTTTTCCCGACGTTTCGTCCTCAAACCAGCGGACTTCTTCAGGGAATGAAGCCCGCACAGCCAGAGTACATTCTGGCAGCAACAGTTTGATTGTTATTGTAAAGACTATTAGACCAATAATTGTGCATGTTACATATTGTTCCTTTGGTAGAATAAATCCATATTCATCGATTGAATTTTCCAATCCAAGGTGAACTCTCTATTCATTCTTTCTTAGCACTATGTGCTTTGCGTTTTATAAAAAAAAAATTAAGGTTTGGAGAAACACTTTGAAATTCTTGTCACATGTCTCCTGTTTGTTTATAGATCGGTTTTAGCCTGGCCTCATTGTTTTGAGTCTAAATATACAAGGCTGAGATGAGATGCACTTGTGTTTAAACCGGGGGAAGGTTACATCACTTATAATGAGCTATAGATAGTTTCCACCACCTCTACTCCCACTCGCGCAACAAAGAAGGCTCCAACCAGCTCAATCCAATCACGACGTGGACGGACTTCAAAAAGCAGCCCGCACACAACTCTTTACCATAGGCCGCAGCGATCATCGAGACAGATAAGGGTATTTTCAAGCACTATTTGCCTCTAGCCTTGCTGTTTTTGCATGTTATAAGTTTATAGTGTCCAAAGTTGAGAGTGTTCTATAGTTAAGTTTACAATTCATCTGACAAAACAAGCTTAATTATGATCACAGTTAATAGAAAGCCAGATTGATCCTGGATACAGGTTTTTTATGTCTGATGCCGATCATAATACTTATGCTTTCAACATATGCTGATGACCAAGGTACACTGTCATTCAGACAAGACAACACACAGGCACCTTTCTGACTCTGCACCCCTTTCCCACTATTCCCTCTTCTTCCAGTATACATTAATCATGTGTTACAGATACCTTTTACAGATGTGAAAACTCCTTTCCACCTTAAGTTCCAAACAAACATTTCAGCCCTGAGTATCTCTCGATAATGACAATCCCTGTGTTATCTTTCTATCTTTCTATCCCCCCGTGCCTCAGGTGGGCTGGCAGCTGCGGAACCTGGTGGGCTCTCTCAGGGCGGACAAAGGAGTGGTGTCTCTGACTTTGAAGAAGCGCCCACAGAGCACGCTCAGCTCTGCCCCTGCACTCCTCAAGAACATGCGCTGGAAACCCCTCGCTCTGCAGGTGACGCTTAAATCATGATTGTATTATGTAACCCTAACTGGACTGGAAGATTATGTTCTCGTAGTCCGTAGTATTTCTGAGACCAAATTACTTGACACATCCACATGACTAACATTATTGGCAATGATTACAATAATGTAATTATTTCTGTGACTGTTCCAGTCGCGGCGCCATTTTCTGATTGATAATATGTCGCTTTATTCTGCATTGTACAAGTAGTGTTTTTTCCTCATTATTGTTGTAGGATCATGCAAAAGAATTACATTCCATCTACATTTACATATTTTGCAATTAGCAAGGTTGTCGTGGAAAATTTGTTCAAGAGGTTGTATCTAAAGCCCACAATCCTTGACTTCAAAATGTTAAAATAGTGCCAACAATTTTCATATCCAACCAGACACACATGTGTCAGGTGCTAGTTTGCATACTGAATTTGTGGGTTCTACTCCATTTACTTAAGTTTTTGACAAATGTATGAAAAGCAACAAAACAAAGAAGAAAAATCTCAGAATATTGAGTTGCATTTGTTGATTTCCCTGTTGCAGCCGACCAGGAGTCCAGGTAGCAGTTCTGGGACTCCGTCTGGGACCCCGACTAAGAGCTCTGCCCTCCAGGACCTGTACATCCCCCCTCCCCCCAATGAGCCATACCATCCCAGGTAATGATGAGCTGATGAGGCCATGTTTACAATATACTACAATATTTACTGCTCTGGAGACTAAAGCCTAGTGTAAACTTGCGCGGCGCGGCTTACGTTAGCGGTTGCGGTGGACCTACGCAAGCACAATTTAATTTATACTCCTTGTTGGAGTTTTGAGGGAAATGTTGTAATCCCACAACCAACCACATGATAGTGATACGCTGCTACTTTCTCCTCTTCAGAACAAAAACATGAACAAACTGAGCTGTTTGAGATCATTACATGTGTTTCTACTGTAGGTTTATGTGATAGTTCTATGGACTCATAATTTCTTAACTCACTTAACTGTGATGTTGTGAATAAAGACACAGTTCTTGTTGGAAACATAGTTATTATTAAATTGTATTCAGCACAAACAGCAAAACAATAAGTGGTAAATGTTTGAGGCAAACATGAACAATTTATAAGTGCAGGAGGAATGGAACAGACGCGATAAGCTACGAGTGCAGATTCAAACAAGACAGGAACCGTGCAAAACAAATGACTGCATAGTTTATAAGTTATATATATGTTAGATATGCAACAGAACTCTAGTCCACAGTCTCCGCGTATATCAGGCTCTGCCATGAGCCCAAACTACTTTTCCTTCGGTTCCTTCGAAGAGTGAAGCAGTCTGCTCCATAGTGCCTCGTCCATGTTCTCTGCTGGCGCTCCGTGCTTCCTTCAAATACACACACACGGACCAATCACAGCGGAGCTTCCTTGCGGCGAACCTTACGTAGTTAGAAAATTTCGATGCTGCGCGGCAGGCAACGTAAGGGCCTTGCGGTGACCAACGCGTTGCGCAAGTGACGTCACAACACCTCCGTAAGCTCCGCGCCGCGCGAGTATACACTAGGCTTAAGAGCTGAGGATGGGGCTACATGCACTAGACATGTAGCCCCATCATAGTAAATGAGAATGTTTGTGATGCAACAAACAACGTCAATTTCTTTACAATACAGTTGGTAAAAAAAATAGGAGCTCGAGTTGCACTGTAATTCCCATATTCTTTGTGGACATTGTGTAGTATAATTTTACAGGGAAAGAAATTGGTTTAAGCTGAGGTACCTTACTTTCAATCCATGATACAATTCATCTAACTAATTCCTCGCTCTAAAACACTCACTCAATCACTCACTTGTATATTTTGGCTTACATTTTAGATCAGCTGGAAGTGAAAACTGAAAACGAGAGGACCACTCTCTCTCAGCCAATCAGCTGTTCACGTTCTGGTCTGATTTCTTTCAAACATTTTACGACAAGACACTTTCTTTTGGGGACAAATGACATATAGGCTTTATATATGAAACCCCCGCCATAATGGCTTGTAAATAATGGTTTAGAAATTATAAAGTACCAATTATGTACAGATCTACACAGAGTAAACCAGCAACAGTGACATCTTTGATAGTAAAACCCGAAAGGCCGTTTACAGACGGTGAGTATTTGATGTATATCTACTGTCGCCATAGAGATGAGTCCGGAGACGAGGCATCCCGTAACCATGGCAGCATCAGTGTTGCAAAGCGCTCAGAGTCCCCAAACTCCTTCCTTGATCTAGAGTCTCAACGGCACGAGGGAGACGACCCGGTTTACTGCACCACCCCCACTTATGGTACGTCTACTACACCACCCCCACTTTTGGTACATCGACTGATCCATTCCCACTTAACCGCAGTTCAGTTAAAAGATATATATATATATTTTTTCTTATAAAAAAAAAAAAATTGTACATTACGTTAATACATTTATGCTCATAAGATTTCAACAACAGACGCTTTTTATGCCCAAAATCCTCTGCACTCGCAGTGAGCACTAAAGCTGGGCATGCGCTGTTTGCTAAAGCTTTTGTAATAAGTTTTTGATGTGTGCATTTGGACTAAACATCAGCACACACACCTCTGTCTCGCTCCTCCTCCTCCACCTCCTTCGCCTCCTCTCACACACAAGGAGTCGCTCGCTGCTCCTCCTCCTCCATAGCTCCATACACAGCGCTCTTTCCTGTCTCTAACTCACTTGGATTTAGACACAGCTAAAGTTGGTCTATGCTTCTATGTACTTTTGAACAGAAAAAGTCACGCCGCTCGACTTGGTGCTCCAGTACAATCGGCCCGTCTGAAACTCATCCAGTAAGGAACATTCCGTGGTGCAAGGATAGGATTAAAATGCGTACATTTTTTTGACGCACTAATTTTTGTGGCGTTAATTATTCTTAATTAACGCGTTAAAGTCCCTGCCCTAATACTGTATGTATATACAGTATACACTCACCGGCCACTTTATTAGGTACACCGATCCAACTCCACTTAAACGCAAATTTCTAATCAGCCAATCACATGGCAACAACTTAATGCATTTAGGCATGTAGACATAGTCAAGACGATCTGCTCCATTTCAAAAAGAGCATCGGTATAGGGAAGTGACTTTGAACGTGGCATGGTTGTTGGTGCCAGACAGGCTGGTTTGATGGCTACTTCCAGCCGGATAAAACACCTTGTTATTAAGCTCAAATCATCACAGACTGGTTTCTTGAACATGACAATAAGTTCACTGTACTGTAATGACATATGATATATAGATATATATAGATATATATATCTATATATATTAGGGCTGTCAAAATTATTGCGTTAACGCACGTTAATTAATTTTTTTCATTAATCACGTTAAAAAAATTAACGCATTTGACGCATGCCCATGCGTCCCATAATAACACTCAGAATGCCGCGGACACATGCGCGTGTGTAAGATGGGGACAGAGCAGGTAGACCCTCGGGAATTCAAGTTTTGAAAGAATACACGCGTGACCGCGGGACACTTGTTGTTTCCTGTATGAACTCTGCATGATGAGCTGCGGGCGCCACAGCGCTCTGGACAGCAGTTCCCACCTCCAGCAGCTGTGATCACGGCGAACGGTGCTGCGTAATGGGATCATATCCAAGACCACGCACAGAACTATTACAGAACTATTCTATAGTGTGCGTACGTGTCTTTGTGTAACCGATGCACACAATATGTACAGTGCTGAAGCTGGACTGCGGAGCCTCAGTCTCCTCCGAGTCTTCTCCCAAAGCGCACTCGCTAAATTAAAGCTGAGGTACCTAATTTTCCTTTCGACTACCAGTTCATGTTAGTTGTGCCAAAAAAGTAATGGTGTGAGCAAATCAAACAGATTTAATGACATTCTGCATTTCAGACTTTTTTGAAATGTCCCTTATCTGTAACAAACAATGGTTTTGGTCTGAGTCTAAACAGAAAGACAGAATGTTAATAATGTTAATGCCATTTTATATGGATGTATTGTTATAACAAACAAATACAGTTCATATGTTCACTAAGCTGTCATTTATCTTTCCATTCAAACAACAATTTACAGAAAAATATGGCATAATTTTGGCAATAGTTTGAAATGCGATTATCCATCCATCCATCCATTTTCTACCCTTTAATCCATTTCTGGGTCAGGGGGGTGGCAATCAGAGATGCCACCCAAGTCTCAAAGCACCAGCCCCTCACTGATCCTCTGCAGGTGGTGAGTCCACAGGAGGACGGCTGCTCTCTGAGTGTGAGCATAGCCTTGATCTTTCAGCGGGGGCTTTTGGGCAAAGTGGGGTTAAGTGTCTTGCCCAAGGACACAACGACAGCAGTCATCAGTGGGAGTCGATGGAGAAGGTGCAGAGGTGAAATGTGATTAATTACGATTAATTAATTTTTAAGCTGTAATTAACTCGATTAAAAAAATTAATTGTTTGACAGCCCTAATATATATCTATATATACAGTATATATTCACAAAATGCAATTATATATACAAACCATTGTATGAGTAAATGGGAGCAAATTTGAAATTGTCAAATTTGGGTAAAAAAGACCAAATTTGCTGCTCCACTGCTTGCTCACCGTTAAACCAATCAAAATTCTGCAGCTTACATGTGTTGAGATGATGTGGAGCAAGTTTGAGACAAATCAGTGAAATAGCCGAAGCGGAGTTGTTGTTCATACAATATCTACGTTTGACTCAGTCTGGCACTAAAGCTGTAATTTCATTTTTTTCACATCCAAGTGACGTAGACCCATGAGTTGAACAACTAATTCAAATGTTGTGCAAATTGAATTCAAGTTTTGACCCTGAAGTCATGGGGGGTCTAATGCAGTGTTTTTCAACCGCTGTGCCGCAGCACACTAGTGTGCCTTATGATATTGTCCGGTGTGCTGTGAGAAATTTGTCTACTTTGTCTAAAGATAACTGCATCCACCGTTGGCAAGCGCCGACTTGTTTTGAACTGTGGAGTACCCACTTAATACTTTTTCATAACAGTAGGTGGCAGCAGATAGCAAATTACTTTGATACATAAGAATTGGACGCAACCACAGGATGTAACAAGTAGTGGATCATGTGGCGAGAAACGTGATAATTGGATGAGACCAACAAGACCAACAAGTGTAACAGTTAGCGGGTGCATTGTGGCGAGTGAGAAGTGAAAGTGATTGAGACATTTTTTAAAAGGAATTATGCCATTTCTGAACAGGACTCACATTCTCCGCTCTGACCTTGGGCAGCTGTGGCCGCGTTGTACTGACAGCCGCTTTGAAACAGCTCAACAATCGCACCGTAGTACAGAGTGCAGACTTTAGACACGTGGACAGACCAGTGCTAACATATACCATTAGCTGACCTCTCAAAAACGTCTTTACAGGATGGTCCTAAAGTCGGCTCATGGCCCAAAGCTCCGTTCCACATGTGTGTCAAGGCTGAGGGGAGTGAATTTTTTTGGACCAGTCTAGTTTAGTCGCTGTGATTTTTTGAAGGCACTCGTTAAATGAATGGGGCTCGTGCCGGCTGCGTTTTTTGCACATTTTCCAGTCCCCGCGGCCATTTTGAAACTGCCCATAGACCGCGGAAGTTGTGGCACATTAGTTAGAATGGCGGAGATAGCCGTGGCTACGTCCGTTTATATTTACAGTCTATGGGACAGACGAGTGGACAGAACCATGGACCCGTGGACAGAACCACGGCCGCACGGAATAGAACCCGAGACGCGCAGATAGAACCATGGACTGAGAGTGGATTTTGTTGTGTTATTTTCTATAGTTAGTGCCACTTTATTCCCACTCTTGTTTACTCATTGTATTGAGAAATATTAAACAAAGCTTAATGCCAAGGCCTGGATGTCTATTTAGGCACTTTGATGAGAATGACTTTATATTGTGAATATGGGCTACAGAGTATACAGTACATTATCTTCAGGTGGTGTGCCACGAGATTTTTTCAATGAAAAAAGTATGCCTTGGCTCAAAAAAGGTTGAAAAACACTGGTCTAATGCAACCGGTTGGGCGAAAATATTTCTAAAATGAATGTTTCAAAATTGTCCGACGCACGCCACCTCTACATCGTTCCCTGGAAATTTCAACATTTCAATGCCTGTAGGAGCATGACATGCATATTTAAGAGTAGGTACAAGGAGTTTAGATACAGTATATCAAGTTATAGATCTCTATGAGACGAGCCTAAAGGTTTCTTGGAGCCTCGCTCCGATCGGTCCAAAAATCGCTGAGTATAATCTCTGAACCGAGATGAGCAAAACATTACACCGCGTAAAAGTTGTAAGTCCCACACCTGACCACTGGGGACGCCCTGAATTCTTTGAATGAGCTTTTTGGGGTAAAATGTTTGTCCAATGAGGCTAGAAATGAATTGACAAATACAGCATATGACCCTGAACACAGTTAATTTTAATTGTGGGGCAAATTGTGGGGAGTCTCAAAGTATATTTGTCTGAGGGCTGCATGAGGTCAAGTCTTGGTGAAGCTGCATTAAGGCTTTTGTTCATCATTTTGTGCAAAATGGATGCACAATCGGAGAAAACAGACAGTAAACACAGTACAATAGTGTGTACATATTTAGTGGTTTGATTCCATCTCTGCGTGTTCTATCGTTCATTGTTTGTATCTGGGACCTTTTATATCATGATGGTGTTTTGACCAAATGATTACTTCAGTTGAACAAAATTAGTTTAGCAATGAGGCTCAGTGTTAGGTATAATATTTATGGCTTATTGCATTCAGGCTTCAATGTTTGTGGTCAAATACATGGTGTGGTGGTTTTCTTGATAAACAGCTGTGAAACTATGTTATGCCATATTTGCACAGACTCTCAGTGGAGACTGCACTAACATAAAAGTTTGATATCCACTTGACTAGGGGGTGAAGTGTGGTGAACAATTCAGACCACAACTTCTTATAAAACTGTTATCGCTTACATGTAGGAAAGAGCCCTGTGAGTCACTATTTGAGACTTTAGGCTGGGAGCTGAGTGAGGATGGTCCTATCTTTATTCACTATCTATCTGTTAAAGCTGATCTAAAGATGTGAGACCACAAATTGATAATAGAACTAACCCTAACCCAGCCGAATATCAAAACCAAGTCAATAACATTATATACTTGCATTTTTTATTTGCTGTCTTTACTACTCTAGTGTTTGTGGGGAGGGAAGTCTGGGATTTGACTGCTGCCATTGTTGAATCAAACACCGCCATCCCCAAATATAATAGCTATAATGAAAATGTGTGTTTTCTCTTTCATTTGCACAGGCTTTTAACAATGCTAAAAGGATAGCCTGACCCTGCGCGCCAGAAAGAAGAATTATTTTATCCCTGTTTCTTTCCACCTAAAAAAAAATGACTCACTTTGAGGGCCAGTCCAACCCAATTTGAACAAGTGGCGTAATTAATAGTTACCTAATTTAACTTAAGTTCTACGAATAGGTGCGTAGTCCCTTAGGACTTCGCTAGTGGGATATCACTCGTGACCCCCAGGTCACACGCCAGAGAGATCAAAATAATTTGCTCCAATCACCAGCCACCCTCCTCTATAAAGGCCCCTGCACAAGGCCGCACCCCCTCTTGAACTCTGCCAAGCCGGGCTGGCCTGATGGGCTCGTAGCTAAGGGACTACGCACCTATTCGTAGAACTTAAGTTACATTAGGTAACTATTAATTCTACGTCATGGTGCTACGTCCCTTAGGACTTCGCTAGTGGGACACAACGCGGAGGCCGTAGGAACATGTACTCCCAGCAGGCCAGCGAAGGGTGATTGGAGCTCCGCCCGAGCAAGACCCTCACACAGTGAGAGGACTCAGGGCAGAAGAAGCCAATGCGTGTTACAGGGCCACTCCTACCGAGGATACCCCCACGTAACACAGACCGTAGGTCACCCGTAGTCCCAGGACGCCTCTCCCAAGAGCTCCTGACGTGGACTACCTGACCGACCAAAACACACATATAAGTACCGCACCTGTAGGACGCCTCTCCCAAGAGCTCCTGAACCAGGGCGGAAAGTCAACCGAAGGCCCCTTCAGAGGAGGGACCTAACGGTCTAACTCATTCCGCTGCACTCAGCACGGAATGGGCCACCAACCGGTCCGACACATCCAAAAGATAAGACCGGACGAAAGAAGAGGACGACGCCCAAGAAGCCGCACGGCAGACGTCCTCGACCGACGCCCCCCTGAGGAGGACCGTAGAGGCCGCCACCCCACGCGTGGAATGCGACCTGAAGCCCACCGGAGGGGCCAGACCCTGCGTCTCATACGCCCGCCGCACAGCCGTGGCGACCCAGTGCGCCAGCCGCTGAGCCGACAGCGGGGCGCCCCTGTTCTTGGGGCCCAGACACACAAACAACTGATCACCCAACCTGAATGACGACGTCATGGCCAGGTAATGCCTCAGCATTCTGACAGGACACAGAAGGTGCCGCCGCTCCTCCTCGGGGGAGGCATGCGGTGGCGGATAGAAAGCCCTAATCCTGATGACTCTCGACCTAAAGGCCGACGTGATGACCTTGGGGAGAAAGGCCGGATTGGGCCACAATTCCACCATGCCGTCGCCCTCCCCAAAAGACAGGCAAGAAGCATGGACAGAGAGCGCACACAAGTCGCCCGCCCTCTTAACAGACGCCAACGCCAGCAAGAGGGCCGTCTTAAAAGCGACACACTCGGGACTCGCCTCCGCCGCCGGTTCAAAAGGCGGACCCGACAGCCCCCTAAGGACCACCCTGAGGTCCCAAACCGGGGGCGTTCTCTGGAGCGGGGGCCTCCTCCTGCGCGCTCCCCGCAGAAAGCGTTTAACCAACGGATGAGAGCGGCCTGTGAACCCCCCGAATCCGTCGTGACCCGAGGTAATGGCTGCCGCGAACACCGCCAAGGTGGCGACAGCCCTCCCTTTGTCAAAAAGCTCCTGTAGGAATCCCAGGACCCCCTCCAGCGGGCAACGCCTGGGATCCCAGGAATGAGAACCGCACCAGTCGCTGAAGAGCCTCCACCACGTGGCGTAGGCCCTCACAGTGGACGGCGCCCTCGCCCCCTGAATGGTCTCCACCACCGCAGGGGGAAGACCCAGGTCTACGAGGTCCCGCCTCTCAGCCTCCAAACCCAGAGCCTGCGGCCGATTATTGGGCGTGAAAACAGGGCTCCCCCCCCTGGACTAGAGCCCCCGGCTCGTCCGGGAGGGCCCAGGGCTCCATCACCGCCATGCCCCTCAGGAAGGGGAACCACCGGGCATGCGGACTGTCTGGAGCCACCAGGATCACCGACCTCCTCTCCTGTTCGATCCTCCGCAGCAGGACCGGTAGGAGACGCACTGGTGGGAAAGCATACAGCAGGCCCTCTGGCCAGGGGTAATGAGCCAGAGCGTCCACGCCTAAGGGCGGCTCGTCCGCGGCCCTTAAGACGAACCAGGACGGGCACTGTGCGTTTTCTGCACTGGCGAAAAGGTCGACCGCTGGGAATTGCAGTGCGTAACCCCTGCGCAATGTTTTCTCCAGCCATAGATTCGTCAGCAAACCTTGCTCCCTCCAGATGCTGTAGAAGTCTGTGAGGGGCGGAACGGGAGCTGGAACACGAGACGTCACGGCCCCGCCCTCTCCTGGTGTTCCTAGCAGGGAGGGGGGGTGGACGAAAGGGCCGGGGGGCCCCCTGCGTCACACCGTGAGCGCCGGGGGCGGTCACGTGTCTTGCAGGCCCGACGTCATAAGTACGGGACTGCTCATCCCACGTGACTCGGCTGCTGTGCCCCCCCCTGGCTCTTGCCTCATCGAGGGGGGGGCGAGCCCCTGGAGTGGGAGACCCCGTGTTAGCCTTGTAGCTCAGAGATGCTAACACGCGTTCGGCCGAAGCACACACATCACTACTCACCAGATCCCTCCGCCTGACCTCTCTCTGTGAGGGCATAGCATGAACCAGAGGACCGGAGCTCGTAGCTCGCATAGCGCACTGCAAACCCTGCTCAGGGGGCTGCAGGCCTAGCAAAGCAACGTTATGTGCTCGGGAAGTAACACAATCAGAATTCACATTATTTGACATGTTACATACCCCCAAATGAGACTCAGACAGCGAGTAATGATGAAATGCCGGTCGGCCTTTATAGAAGGAATTCTTCCCACCCCGACCTCCTCTGCCATAGGGAGGTCGGCGGTGGGTGCGTTGGTCCCGCGAGCCTCCCGTGGGCCTGTCTGGACCCGGGGGCCTCGTCGAGGGGGGACGATAGGCCACAGAGTGTGGATATGGGTCAGAGCGCCTCCCGGGCGAACGCTCCCTGCCTCTGTCCCGGCTCCGTGCTGGTGGGCGGGCCTCGCGCCTCGGCGCTAGGTGCTGGGCTAGGCTAGCCGAGTCCTTGGCTGCGGTCTCCAGTCTAGCCACCAGGGTCTGCATGTCCGGGCCGAAGAGGGATGTCTGGGAAACAGGCAGGTCCAGCAGCTGCCTCTTCTCCGCCTCCCTGATGTTAGCTAGCCCAAGCCAAAGGTGCCTGGCCCCGACTTGAGCTGCTGCCATGGAGCGGCCGCCATCCACAGCTAGCGCCTGGCACATGCGCAGGATCGCCGCTGAGGTGGTCCTCGCCTGTGATAAGGTGTCTCCACTGAGCGCCTGGCCAGAAGAGAGCGACCTATCCAGGGCCCCCGTGATGAAGGCCATGTTATTCGCCACAGCGACGACCTGTGCCGCATTGGCGTAACATCTGTCCAGCATAGCCAAAGACGTCCTGTCCCGCTCGGAGGGAAGGAGAGGTCTGGTGCCGGGCCACACGGATGCGGAGGGGTGCAGGGCCATGCGGACCGAATCCTTGATGTCCGGGACCCCGCCGGTCCAGGACCAGTCCTGCACGCTGCAATACATGCCGTAGCCCAAAGCGGGCCTCTTGGCCGCTAGGGGCTTTGGCCACTCACGTGTCGCGTAATGGACGATCAGGTCCATCCGCGGGCACAACGTGGGCTGTATCCTCCTCCTCCCTCGAGTGGTGGCGTAACCAGAGGTGAAGTCCTCCGCCCTCTGGGTCGGCTGCGGTGGCAGGGGGGCATCCATGATGGCCGCCGCGGAGGAGTAGAGCCCAGGCATGTGGTCCAGTGGGAACCGGTCCGGCTCCGGGTTCGATACCACCTCGTCCAGGGTGAGGAGGGAGCCGACCTCCGAAGCCTCTCCGTCCTCGCAGTCACCCCACTCCGCAGGCACGGGTGGAAGGTCGAGTGGGGCCCAGTCAGTCTCAGACTCCTCGTCCTGAGAGGAGTCCGGACGGGGCGCTGCAGCGGCGAGGTACGCACGCCTGCGTTCGCTCTCCTCCCTGGGGAGAGCGAGACACGAGGTGCAGGTGGCGCTCAACGCCGCATGGCCCGGGCCCAGGCACATGAAGCAGCTGGAGTGCTGGTCCGTGCGCTGGAGCCTGACTTGACACGTCGAGCAACGACGACGTCCGACGCCGGAGGGCGAAAGGGAACTCGGACGAGCATCAGAAGACATCTTTTCTCTGGAATAAAGTGAGTACTGTGGTAGATCTCAATCGGCGCCAGAGTGAAAGAGGGGGTGCGGCCTTGTGCAGGGGCCTTTATAGAGGAGGGTGGCTGGTGATTGGAGCAAATTATTTTGATCTCTCTGGCGTGTGACCTGGGGGTCACGAGTGATATCCCACTAGCGAAGTCCTAAGGGACGTAGCACCATGACGTAGAACTTGAACTTTTAAGTCGGTATCACATATATCCACATATTGTATCATGTTATCCATGGTACCTGAGTCCATAGTGACGTGTATGTGTGTTTGCTGTGTGTCTGTAGGCAGACTCAGGCCCATCTCTATGCCTGTGGAGTGTAACTGGGTGGGCGACTACGAAGACCCGGCCAAACTGAACCGGGAGCGGAGCAGAGGTGAGCAGCATCCCCCTTCAGCCTGCCAGTGTGGACTTTCACAAGGATGTACAGTATATAGTCTCAATCATCATTTTGTTTTATGATCTATTCTGAATTATATCAAACCTTTTAGGTGCGCAAACAGGGAGTTTTAAATGCAGTATAAAACAATTCAAAGTTATTTTTTGTATTCTTCAATGACGGATCAGAAAATCAAACGGTTAGAACACAGACATACAATATTATCATACTCTTAAGCCTGGTTCACACGGCAGGATAATTAGGCCGATTTTGGACCCGATTTACCCCTACGACAATCATAAGAACGCTCCGAATATCGTAACAAAAAATCTGATGGATTTTCCTGCCGTGTGCTCCTGTGCCGACTGTGCTCCTGCCGTGTGTGGTGTCTGTGCTAGTTGCTCGGAAGGACTTCGGGACTGCTCCGATCTCAATATCGGGGATATCCAACATGTTGGATTGTTTTGGCCCGATTTCTCCTCGTGTGTGGTGTCCCCCAAGGACAGACAAGCGCGTTGCCATGACTGCGGCGTGTAGCCAATCAGAAGACGAGACGAGCCGGCTAGGAAACACCGTAAAAAAACATAAACAGTCAGCGGCATGGCGCACCAGAAAGTTCGGTGGACATCAGAGATGGAGGAACAACTGGTTCACCTCAGTTGGTAGAGCATCGGCCTTAGAGCCTGAAGATTGTGAGTTCGAGCCTACATGTGTCCATTAAAAAGGACCTGGCAGGGTCAATCAGGCTGCTACTCAGGAAGTAACATCACATAAGTTACTTAAACAAAAAGTTGCTAAATGTGTTGGAATGATTAAAAGATCAAGTAATTTTTTCTTATACTTTATTGTTCTTTTATAATGTCATATCTGAGTTATTGTGCTGAAGTCTGGGGAAACTGTTCTAAATCCCACTTAAATCCTGATCACGCTGCAATAAAAAACCATTAGGACAACATACATTATAGACACCATTCACAATCCTAAAACTGACAACTTCAAAACCGCTCAATTCATCAACATATACCATTAGCTGACCTCTCGAAAACGTCTTTACAGGATGGTCCAAAAGTTGGCTCTGTGTGTGTCAATGCTGAGGGGAGTGAATTTTTTGGAGCACTCTAGTTTACTTGCTCTGAATTTTTTAAGTCACTCGTTCAAATGAATGGAGCTTGCGCCAGCTAACGCATGCGCAGATGCATTTTTTCACAATTTTCTTGTAGGCGAGACCACTCGCGGCCATTTTGGATAGCCCCAGTAGAGCACATTTTTTGGCCCACTTGTTTGAACGGCGGAGACAGGCGTGACTACGTCCGTTAATATATACAGTCTATGGCACGAACGCATGACCTTCAGGCCAAAGGCCAATGCTTTATCAACTGAGCCATTGTTGCTCTGTATGAAAATGAGTTTTAGATAAACACTTAACCACCTACCTAAGTGTGTGTGTGTGTGTGTGTGTGTGTGTGTGTGTGTGTGCGTGCATGCGGGTATTTGTGCGTGCGTGTGTGCTTGGTTTAATTCTGGTGGTTCAGTTTCCCCCTCACCCACAGAAAATGTATCGCTCAAGCTTTAGTGCACAGATTGGCCCTGACCAGGTTCCTGGCTCAAGATCTTAAAACGACTCAATCCAGACGCTGCACAGTGGTCGCTCTCTCATCTCCTCCATGCAATAGATCTGTCAAATGCAGAGAGAGAATTAATTTAAGGCTGCACTCAAAGATATTTGAATGTCCAATTTACAATTGCTTTCAAATGCTCAAAAAAAAAAAAAAAATGTATATATATATATATATATATATATACACTCACAAAAACTTAGGGCACACTCAAAACACACATCCTCGATGTCAATCAATTCAATTTTTTGGGGTAAAAAATCTTCATTCATAGTGTGTTGAGAACAAAATAACATGAGAATAAATGGAAATCAAATTCTCAGCTCCTGGAGGTCAGGATCCAAAATTGTAGTCAAAATCAAAGTGACAACTGGTTGATCCAAATTCTGTAGAAATTCCTCAAAATGAGTCTTTATCATCCTCAGTAGTGTGTGTCGCCTCCACGTGCCTGAATGCACTCCCTACAACGCCTGGGCATACTCCTGGTGGGACCATGGAGGTCCTCCTGCGGGATCTTCTCCCAGACCGGGATTACAGCATCAGTCAGCTCCTGGACAGTCTGTGGTGCGACGTGGCGTTGAATGGACCGAGACATGATGTCCCAGATGTGCTCTATTGGATTTAAGTCTGAGGAACAAGCAGGCCAGTCCAAAACATCAATACCCTCATCATGCAGTAACTGCTGACCCACTCTTGTCACCTTGTGGCCTGGCATTATCATGCATCAGAAGGAACCCAGGGCCCACAGCACCAGCATATGGTCTTACAATAGGTCTGAGGATCTCATCCCGGTACCCAATGCCAGGCAGGGAACCTCTGGCTAACCCATGGAGGGCTGTGCGGCCCTCCAATGAAATGCCTCCCCAGACCATTACTGACCCACCACCAAACCGGTTATGCTGGATGGTGTTGCAAGCAACAGAACGTTCTCCAGGGCGTCTCCAGACTCTGTCACATGTGCTCAGGGTGAACCTGCTCTCATCCGTGAAGAGCACAGGGCACCATTGGCCAATCTGCCAATCGCTGTTTTCTTGGGCAAATGCCAATCGGGCTGCACGGTGTTGGGCAGTAAGCACCGGCCCAACTTGTGGACGTCGGGCCCTCATACCACCCTCATTGAGTAGGTTTCTGACCGTTTGAGTACCAACATGCACATTTGTTGCCCTCTGGAGGTAATTTTGTAGGGCTCGGGCAGTGCTTCTCCTGTTTCTTTGTGCACAAATGAGCAGAGAGCGGTCCTGCTGCTGGGTTGTTGACCTCGGTTGGCCCCCCCAGGTCTCCTGGTGTACTGGCCTGTCTCCTGATATCTCCTCCATGCTCTGGACACTGCGCTGGGAGACACAGCAAACCTTCTTGCCACAGCACGAATGGACGTGCCATTTTGGATGAGCATCACTCCCTGAGCAACTTCTGTGGGTTGTAGATGCCTCCTCATGATACCTCTAGTGGTGAGAATACTGGACAAATGCAAAAGTGATCCAAAAATACGGTACAAAGGATGAAGACAGGGAAATGGTAATGGCAAAACCATTCCTCTTTTGGAGTGATCTTAATAATTGCCTCACATTTCCACCTGTTGTCTGTTTAATTTCCACAACATCAGGTGAAATTGATTCACAATAAGTGTGGCTTCCTAACTGGACAGTCTGATATCTCAGAAATTTGACTGACTTGGCGTTACATTGTGTTTTTTGAGTGTGCCCTAAGTTTTTGTGAGCAGTGTATTTATAAATATATACATGTATATATTAGGGCCGGGACTTTGACCCGTTAATTACGATTAATTAACGGCACAAAAATTAGCGCTTTAAAAAAATTGACGCATTTTAATCGCATGTGTTTTTTCCACCGCGGAACGTTGCTCACTGGATGAGTTTCAGACGGGCCGATTGTACTGAAGCTCCAACTCAAGCTCCATGACTTTTCTTGTTAAAAAGTACATTATAACAAGCATAGACCAACTTTAGCGGTGTCTAAATCTGAGTGAGTTAGAGACGGGAAAGAGCGCTGTGTATGGAGGAGGAGGAGCAGCGAGCGACTCCTGTGTGAGCGGAGGAGGAGCAGCGACACAGGTGTGTGAGCTGCTATTGCTGATGTTTTAGTTCGAATGCACACATCAAAAACATATTATGAGCTTTAGTGCTCACTGTGAGTAGATTTTGGGCTTAAAAAACGTACGTTGTGGACAGAGTGTGTGGAGGCGATGACAGATACGTTATTTGATGGGGAATAAGTCCGTCTGATCCCCTTATCATCCTCAATGAACATGCGTTACTTAAGCTTATGTATTCAGTCATTATTCAATCGTAAACTAAAAATCCGCGTGAAAAAAATTACTGCTCACTGTTCTCAGGACAAATATTTACATGCGATTAAAATGCAATTAATTGCGATCAATTAATCACAAAGCCTCTAATTAATTAGATTTTTTTGTTTTTTATTGAGTCCCAGGAGGGTAAAGGTGATAGTAGTGCCCGTGGTAATGGGTGCAATCGGGGCAGTGACCCCAAAGCTGGAGGTGTGGTTACAGCGGATCCCTGGAACAACCTCGGAAATCTCGGTCCAGAAATGTGTAGTGCTAGGAACAGCAAAGATACTGCGCAGAACCCTTAGCTCATTCACTGTCAGCCATTTAAAAAAGCAGCATCCCTCATACTGCCAAAGATTTTGGACATTTTTCGTGTTTTTCCGAACCGCATAGAAATGTGAGCCCTTGGTTGACACAAGTATGAAACTTACTTTTTAAAAAAAGTAAGTTTCTAACCCTTTTAGTTTTTTTTACTAATTGAGAGTGCAACATAGGGCGACAGTAGCTCAGTTGGTAGAGCATTGGCCTTCAGGCCTGAAGGTCGTGGGTTCAATTCCCACCTCTACACCTTCTCCACCGACTCCCACTGATGACTGCTGTCGTTGTGTCCTTGGGCAAGACACTTAACCCCACTTTGCCCAAAAGCCCCCACTGAAAGATCAAGGCTATGCTCACACTCAGAGAGCAGCCGTCCTCCTGTGGACTCACCACCTGCAGAGGGTCAGTGAGGGGCTGGTGCTATGAGACTTGGGTGGCATCTCTGATTGCCACCCCCCTGACCCAGAAATGGATTAAAGGGTAGAAAATGGATGGATGGATGGATGGAGAGTGCAACATAGGTAACTTTCACACAAAATGCTGTTTCCTGACCATGATTTGGGGAAAACAGCCTTTTGTGAAACGCGCATTTTCAAGCAGAAAAGTGGGTTTTTTCTGTCTTTACTGATATTTTACAATGTATGACAGTTTCTTATTATGACACAAAACAGAAACAATACTTTGAATTGTGTTTTTATTTTACAAATTAAACGTGTACACACAATACACTCAAAGGATTGTCATATGTACACATAAAATATTCAACTTGTATACAATAAAAACACTTACAAATATACAGTAAAAATAACACTTTCTGAACACTTTATAAACTAAGAGTAAAATTGTTTCACAAAGAATAGTAATTAGGTGACCCCACACTCTGCTGAAGTGTGGGGTGGAATCTACTTCCTCCGCACTCCCAATATATTTCCAGATGAGTTTTTTTTTTTACAAACCCAGTGAGAAATGTTAAACCAAAAAAGGTTTTTAGCTGCTAAACTGTCACTGACTTCCTGCATTTTCTCTGCTGAATGGGAGACGCTGTGTGTGTGCACTGAAATATTGTGCTGCATACAGCTTTGTCTGTTCGACAATAAGATCCAGGATCCAGCAGTTCATCAGTTATGAAGAGCTGCTGAAGTCAGCTGCTGATCCAAATCAAGCTCTGCTGCAGCATTTTGGGGTCCTGGGGTCAACAATATACAACACAAATGCCATGCCTGCCATGGATCACCTCACCCTGTCCCTTCCATAAACCACACGGTAACATCATCCATAGCTCCCTGGCAGCTAATGCTGCATGCCAGATTCACACGCCTCCAAACTCAACATGGAAACTTTTGGAAAAATGTCCCGCGTAATCAAGCATTTTACCCCGCAATAATCATTCATCAATCAACAATTGCGCGCAAAATCCTGGAAGGGCTGATAGTACATTAGACAAAGGGGAGAAATAAACTCGTAAATGCAACATGTTGAAGTGAAAAGCGACTTATCACATTACGACGGGGGGAGGAGCCGCTGCCGCTGCTGCTGGACGAGGAGGGAAGGAGGGAGGGGGAAGGCTCCGAGGATCCTGGAGTCACATGTTAACTAAAACCTGAAGAACTAGCATCGTGGCATCTAGCTGCTTCATATTTATCCGTTTGATGACTGAACAGGCTCTCAAACAGCGTTAGCTGCGTGAGCTTTTCAGATCTGCGGTCCCTTTGTGTAAGCATGTGCGGTCCTCTGGCTTTTTGCAGCTCACAGCACCACATGCCCCCTCCTCCCTCCCTGGATCTGGCCACAGTGTCACCTCTGCCCCCTACAGGATCGGTTCCAAAGTGTTTACAGGTCTGAAATGTTGACACAGGATGCACATGAGCCTTGACTAGCCATAGAAAGAAAAAAACTGATTTAGATTTACGTCTATAGACGTCAATGGCAGTGAATGAGTTAGCTCCTAGGCCTCTGGTAGAGGACCCGAGCTTAGAGAGGGATAACCGCCCGTGGAGGGCGAAAGGTGTGTGTGTGTGTATATATATATATTCCACTATTGGGAAGGCACGTTTCTTTTTCAGAAATGAGAACAGCTAGAGACACGTACAGTAACAGTGTGATAAAATATTAGATATAGAGCAGGGCTGTGAAAATTATTGCGTTAATGCACGTTACGTTAATTAATTTTGTCCGCCACTTTCTGCTAACATGCTGCTGTTGTTTACATGCGCTGCAGACACTAGAAGGGGTTTGCAACTAGTTTCACTTTTTATGACCTGAATTCATATACCAGCTGAATCAATAAGCTCATTATTTCAATTGAATTACGGATTTTAATACAACTTTTAATACAACAAAAATACTGTCTACTACAGAAAGACAGAATGTGAATAATGTTAAGGCCGTTTTATGTGGATTTTTAGTTATAATAAACAAATACAGTGCATATGTACACTATGTTGTCATTTATCTTTCCATTTAAACAACCATTTACAGAAAAACATGGCATAATATGCCGATAGTTTGAAATGTCATTAATTACGATTAATTAATTCTTAAGCTTTTTATCGTTTGACAGCCCTAATATAGAGCCACAAGTGCTCCATATCTTTGATGTTGAATTTGATGTGAAATGGACACAATGTCACGTGATGAAAATTAAAGAAGCACTCATAAAACAGAAACAATTGAAGTGAGTACCAAATAAAAATCCACACCATGACACAAAAGGACAACTAAAATCAATAACAGAAATAAGTAGAGTATCCTTAGCCCAAGGGCCCGGCTAGGCTCAGCCCGAAGGAATGACGTGGGCCAGCCCTCCTGTGGGCCCACAACCGGCAGAGGGATCCATGGGGTATCGGTGCAGAGAGGACTGGGTAGCAGTCGAAGCCGGAGACCTCGGCGACCAAGTCCACGCACACAGCATTGGGCTGTTGGAACGTGGAACGTTGCCTCACTGGGGGGGAAGGAGCCCGAGCACGTGGGGGATGTTGAGCGATACCAACTAGATATAGTCGGCCTCGCCTCCACACACAGCTTGGGCTCTGGAACCCAAGCGTGGACCAAATCAACTGGGAACGTCTCGCTGAGCCCCCTGTCAAGCGGATTTTCAACTTACTCCTCCGGGAGAGCTTCTCCCAGGTCCCGGGGGAAGAGGGGGACCTGAGATTCAAGTGGAGCAGTGTGGTTTTTGTCCCGGCTGTGGAACACTGGACCAGCTCTATCGGATACTCGAGGGTTCATGGGAGTTCGCCCAATCTGTCCACATGTGCTGGATTTGGAGACCGTGTTCCCCGGGTGTCCTTTTGGGGGTTCTGGGAGCCAGAGCTGCGTATGCATCGCTGGCGGTTCTGTTCACTGTCTTTATGGACAAAATTTCTTAGCGCAGGTCAGGTTCAGAGACCACAGGATTACATCTCTGGAACGGTTTTCAGCCAAGTGAGAATGAGAATCAGCACCTCCAAATCTGAGGTCATGGTGCTCTCCAGGTGGGTGGAGGGGTCCTTCCTCAAGTGGAGGAGTTACAGTATCTCAGGGTCTTGCAAGATAATGATAAATAAGGAATAATAAAAAAATAAAATATATAAAATATATATATATAAAAAGAAAGGATGGATAAAATGAAAGATTTGTTATACATATACACATAAGCGCATCTACCTACACATGGTTAAATGGGCACATATATACATGCATACACATACATGCTCACACACACCTATAAATATATATACACACACGCATACACACACATATACACATATATACATATATACATATACATACATGCACACATATACACACATACATACACATACACATATACATACACATACATACACACACCTCCATATGCATACATACATACATGCATACATACGCATACACACACACACATACCCCTGCACATACAGGTACACCTATACACACCCACACATATACACCCATACATATATATGCACACACACAGTCTTGATATATCTGCATATCTGTTTGTCTGTGTGTAAGATTTCTTGAGTTCAGGCAGTGATTAGTTAAAGGTCATCTTCCACTGCTGTCAACGACATGGTCCAGGCGAGTCGCACAGTTCTCACCGTCTTTTCAGATAATGCGGCTGTGATTAAACCAGGTTCCTATGGTGAAATCAGCAATAACAAACGCAACAGAGCATGTTCAATTTGTACTGTTCGGCCATGAGTTTGAAAGCTCAAGACATGTGATCATTGACAGAACATGATGGATGGAAGAGTTCAGAAACTGGTGCGAGGTCTGTACATGATCTGTGTGCTACTTCTCTTGTTATACAGAGCTAAATGTATTTTATAGTGGATTTTTGTGTGTTATCTGCATTCAATAGACATGGGTGTCTTGCAAGGCGGTTCCAAAGTGGTTTTCTCTGCAAATTGAGAAATTAAATTATAATTATAATTTACTAAAATATTTTACTGTTTGAAAGAGTACTTAAAGTATCTGGCTGTTTCAGATACAAATTACTGGTATAACACTAGGTATTTACACTATACATATAGTTATATAGCCAAGGGCACCACATTACAGGCATGCAATAAATCACTAACAACATTTAGAACAGCTTTTTTCACACTGAAAAGGTAAAAAGGGACAGTCCCTCGTACAAAGCCAATCAGTGTCCCACCGAAACCCTCAACTCAATGGACTCTTTCTTATGAGCAATTGGCGTTATTTCTTAATACTCTTGATTGCGCTGGAACAGAAGCAAGTCCAAAGCAGCTCTGAAACAGCTGTTGTTTTGTGCTCTACAACTGTTTTTCTTGCTTTGTCTAGCTGTTAATGTTACTGCAGAACAGTGTTCATGGTTTTACACTGATCAAGACCACAACAGAGAGGATTCACGGTCCGAATCAAGCAGATCAAGTGAAAATCCAGTGGAGGAATGCTGTTTTTTTTTTAAAGGCTAACAAGCAATTCAGCTTTTTACTCTGCATTAGAACACAAAAAACTGTCTGAACCAAGCGGCTACTCCACTTATGCTGCAGTGATCCGTCCTGCTCCACCCAGCGGCTACTTCACCTCTGCTGCTGTGACCTTACTATTGTTACATTTAAAAGTTATGTAATCAATTATTTTGTTTGTATGGTTGGACATGTTTCTGCTGCTCCTGGACACCTGAATTTCTTCTACGAGGGAAGAATCAAGTATCTATCTATCTATCTGGTAGATGTTACTGTGTTGTTATTTAAAAGTCCTTCTAAGGGTTAAACACAATTTACAAATTGAAATGTCCCAAGTATCTTGATGTTTGGATTTCTTATGAGATTTTTTTTTATTGACCATATCCAACTCGACTATACCAAATATCTGGAAAATTTATATACAATTTCTGTTATCTACATTATGAAAGGACATGTCTTGCAGAAAAGGGTATACAATGCTGGTGATTTCTTATCCATATTTCTACAATTATACCATATTTTTATTTCTATTTGGGGAATACATTTTTTTGTTTGTTTGCTGAACAGAGGCTACGTTGATGCGCTATCGAGTTCTTTCGGGGTCCGATGACAGAACCACCTCCGACGATTACTCCTCCCACACGGCACGGCTGGGGAAACGGGCCAATGACACAGCCAAAAGAGCCAAGAGGCGGAGCCATCACAGCCAGAGCCCCTCCCACTATGTCCTCCAATCAAATCAGAGGGATTCTCCGCCTAAGGACCCAGCATCACTCTATCATGTATGTATCTTTGGCAGGACATCTTTACATACTTCACTTGACTTGTGAGCCATTTTAAGAGAGATACGTCATTGTCATTCATACACATCAAGAACAAAGTACACACTGGACAAAATGACGTTGCATCCTGACCGTGTACAAACAAATGCGTTAACTTGGACATTTTGTAATATAACTTAAAAAAAAAAAAGTTATTAGACTTTTATTTTGGAAAAAATATGCTCATATTCTACTACTGTATATCTGTGTAGTAATGATTGCCTTGGTGAGGTTGAAGTAAAACGTTGCAATAGTCAGGAGAAAGCCTGCTCAGCCCTGGTGGACTGCAACCCCTACTCTGACCCCCAGTCTATGTGCTTATACAGTCTCTTATAGCAGAAGGACTACAGGGTCTGATATGATTTTATCATGTTAAATGCATGTTTCCAGGCTGATATCACTGATTTACTCAAGGGAAGAAGTAATTTTTGATAAAATTTAAAAGATTGTAAACATATAGTGAGAGAGGAAAAGCCAAGTGGAAACGAGAAGAAAAATCTCCTAAATACCTTTAAATGAGTGATGAGAGTGTTGCTAGACGCCACCTTTTCAAATAGAATTGCCACATTATTGTATACATTTTTAAATCTCCCAAGACATAGAGCTTACCATAGTCAGGGTGAAGACAATGGATTTTTTCAAAAGCAGATCTTTATTGGTGTGGCAAATTGGAACAGAAGAGCGTCTGTCTTTTAAAGTATGTGTGAAAAAGTGACACTACTTTTTAGATCAGGGGTATTCAACTCAATCCCAGGTTAAGACTGGACTCACTTGAGGAAATGGGTGGAGTCTGTTGTGCTCTTGCTTGTCTTCAACTTGCTGAGTTGAATACCCCTATTTTAGGTGGTCCCTTGAATTGCTGTATTTTTTGTCAGCCCCAAATTGTGGAAATCCAGTGATAGTCTGCGACACATTCGGACTTAATTGCTCTATCATCATTGTATTATTGGGATTTCTCTTAAGATGTTCTGAGTTAAAAGCATAATTCTGTGAGTGCGCGGCTTCTGTCCAGTTCTGTTGGCATCTGAGGACTTTTCCGACCGCAATTGTCTCTTTTCTGTGAAGGAATGTAATAAAATGTTAGTTTTCCTCTTGCTGTGACAGCCCCAAACACTACAATAAGACAATTCAAAGGTGTTAGACTTCAGACTTCACAGTGATGGAAGTCCAGTTGAAAGTGCCTTTCACACATTTTTGTTTGCTTTCCTGGCCCATTCAGCCGGTGCCTGTTTTATGGTTGTAATTATGCACAACCATGTATTCTGTAAATAATGTATGTTAACTTGAGACATATTATGAAAATGTTTTGAACTTTTAACCATGTTAAAACATTGTTCCCTATCAGACCTGGAGTTGTTTTTAGATTCAGACACAAACATGTAACTCCACCCCTTCAGTTTATAAGCTCCTGTCGCAGTCCTACGTATAATAGTAAGATGTACCGCTACGACATCACACTCTCTTGATACAAATTCATCCCCTCCCTCTGGTGGGCCGGCCAATAACGTCACCTTTCCAACTTATTTCCTCATACGTTTTCTGTTTACAATAGTGTTTCATGTTTTAAAACGGCACAAATAATGTATGATATGAATTCTTAAGGGTTAGTTGATTGTCAGAATCAGAATAATTTTTATTTCCATTTAAGTAACAGGAGGTCACAGACTAGGACATTTTTTTGGCTCTCGGTGCAACAGTCAAAGATGAGAGGTAAAGATTAGAGTAAGACATATTCAAAATCTGCATACACTTCTAAGGTATTAAAATAAAAAATAGAATTATAACAATTACAATTACTATATACAATATACAAATGCACTTGGTGCACACAATATTAAAGTGCAATAAGGTGACAGCAGTAAAGTGACGTTATGATGAGCAGTAAAGTGACTTTATAAAGGGCAGAAATGTGACTTTATAAAGTGCAGTGAGTGGCTTTATAAAGAGCACTTTATGATGGGCAGTAAAGTGAATTTATAAAGAGCGGGGGGACAAGCTGTGAAGTGTTCATGTGTCCAACAGGAGGGGAGAATAAACTGTACCCTGTGGCGGGAGGGTTCTGGTCCAAATGGACCGTAGCCTCCTACCTGAGCTGAGGGGAGAGTTTGGAACAGACCATGTGCCGAGTGAGAGAGGTTCGCTGTGATGGTCGGCTCCCACTTGAGGTCCTGAGTGATGGTGGTGCCCAGTAAAGAGAAAGGACTCCACAGAGGTGATGGGGGAGTCCATCAGGGTGGGCGGGGCTTCCTGAAGTCCACCATCATCACCAATGTCTTCAGGGTTTTCAGCATAAGGTTGTTACCACTGCACCAGCACACCAGCTGGTCCACCGGACTCATCATTGATGGAGATGAGTCCAATGAGCTTCAAAGTCGTGGCTGGAGGTACAGTGGTTGGTGTGCAGGGAGAAGAGCAGGGGAGAAAGAACACATCCCTGTGGAGCTCCTGCCTCCTCCTCCACAAACAGGATCCTGACTTAGGATCCCGGGGAGTCCAGGTGCTGTAGGATGTGGTGGAGGGCCAGATTTATGGCATCGATTGTGAGGGCTTTTTGTAAGGTATACTGTATATCCCAGGGGCGAGCATTGGCCTTTAGGCCTGAAGGTCGTGGGTTCAATTCCCACCATGATACCTTCTCCACCGACTCCCACTGATGACTGCTGTCGTTGTGTCCTTGGGCAAGACACTTAACCCCACTTTGCCCAAAGCCCCCACTGAAAGATCAAGGCTATGCTCACACTCAGAGAGCAGCCGTCCTCCTGTGGACTCACCACCTGCAGAGGATCAGTGAGGGGCTGGTGCTATGAGGCTTGGGTGGCATCTCTGACTGCCACCCCCCCGACCCAGAAATGGATTAAGGGGTAGAAAATGGATGGATGGATGGATGGATACTGTATATCCCGGCATGTCTTTGTGTATGTCACTTCTATAGTTAGTATTGTATGTTGTCTCCTGTCTGACACATGCCCATCATCTTCTTGATATGGAGATAGTTTTCCATGACCCTTTAGCGCACTGACCACTCTCGCTACAGCGGAGAGTGTGAGTGTGTGAGTGTATGGACAGGTGTGGTGCTGGGAGGGCAGAGGGCCTCAGTGTGCTATTCCAGGCCCATGTGGCGCTCAGGGCAGAACATGGCACAACTCCATGCTCTCATCAGGCCCATGTGACCTTTTCAGAGAGGTCAGGGTGTGAAACAGACACCTAAGATAAGACATATTTAGTCCTTCAAGTTCTGTCTTTACTCACAGCAACCCACAGAAGAGAGTATAAAACTCATAAGAACAAATACAGTGATTTGCAATTCCAAGTCCAGGCAACAGATGTTTTCTTTGATACAATATTTAGAGTTAACCATTATTCCATTGTCCCCACCACCCAGAAATAGACTATGAAAGGGGAATGAATGGCTGAATGTAAAGATCTGTTTTATAGCACACAAACATGTATAACTATGTTTATGAAGATTATAGAGCTCTATGTCTTTAGCTTGTGATGGTGATTGATCAGGCATGTGCTATTATTAAGGAGCTACGTTGTATGGCCAAAACAATGACATATCTGCCGGAGGGTAAACTTTCAAGCACTACTTTATGTAATATAGCGCATTGTCTGTATACAGTGTTGCAGTTCTCAGCAATGGTTTACCCAGATAATTACAGTTTGACTCAGTGGCATAACATTTTCATAATACAACAACCAAAATATAACAGCCATGGTTCATAGTTCCTCTTCCCACTCCCTCACCACTCTCCCTTACTGTTAAACTGTGTAAGTGTGTGGTGCAGCGATAATGAGAACTGCTGTGTCTTCTTTGTGCCCATGTGTCTCGTCTTCGTCATTCTCGCTGCTCTACTCCCCGCGATCTGTCAACTTCTATATCCCATGATCCTTTGCTGCGCACAAAGGCCACTGATTCACACTGACAGCACGCTTTCGTTCTTGTTTTTCTACTCTTTTTCTCTTCAGACATATCAGCAGTCATCTTCCTCCTCCTCCTCCTCGCTGTCAAAAAGCAGGAAGAAAAACAAAGGTAAGCTTAAGCCACCCGTTTAGAGCTGTACCATCTTAGTAATTATAAGCTCTGGTGCAAGTGTTTGAAAGAACAACAAGGATTTCAACTCGAGATACAGACTTTGGCATGTAAGGTTTACATTGGTCCACATTGATGCAACCTTGCCATAGGTGCAGGAGACAGTCCCAGCGCAGGGGCATATGCTGTCATCCCTGTTCTGAAACGCTGATACAGGTCAAAACAACACCTTTGGGAAAAGCCACTTCAAGGCCTTATGAGTATTTCTAGGACAGTCCTCTTCATTTATTAAAGCCCCTCCCTGAAACCTGTTCTATTTATTTGCACCTTAAACTTGGTGATGGAAAGACATTGACATAAACGTTATTGATCTCACATTGTGCCATCAGCCCCCTTCCACTCATGATCGCACGACCAAATGTGTATGTGTAAAATCTTGATGACGAGTTTTGGACAATCTCAAAATAGTTCCACAAATGACGTCAGAATGACGTGAATCTAAATTTTTTCCAATTCTTTCACTTGCATGTGTCTCTGCTGAAGCACATTGGGCTAATGAATGGAGTGTGAAATGTTTGTAATGACAGCTGCTGCATTAGCTCAAACAGTTTTTCCCACCAGGCCCATTTACTGCCTTAATTTTCCCAATAGTTTTGAGGATAATGGGTAAGCAATAACGTGCAAGATGAGCTGTATAATTGGGAAGTAAACTGCCCACAAAAAAATCTGAATCAAGTGTGACAAAACTAATCAAAACTAATCAACTATAAAATGACCATTGATGATTTGTGTTATTTTGAATAAATAAAAGTCTATCACAAGTGTTGCACCTGAAAGTCATTTGTTAGAAACCGACAAATTAACTCCTTTGAATTTATGGATGGAAGTCCTGCAAAACTGAAACCATCATCAATGCCGCATTTAAGTTCTTTCCAGTTTTGGTTTCATAACCCGTGAGCAATTAACCACTTTGGAGATGTCTTGTCTCCAATCTTCTTCTACAATTGAACTAAAATGCAGGAGCCCTCGTAATGTTATGTGAAGCCTACAGATACAGGATCTATCTGTTTAGAGTTTGTATCCCTGTGTCTGGGTGGTTTTCCTCAGGGCACTCATGTTTCCCCCGCCGCACAAAACATGAACTCCTCCAGATCCGGTAATGTTCTGTAGCGACCATTGCTCCTCCTTCTCTTGGCATAAGAAGGATGTGTCAAATCTGGAAAGGAAATTAAAGTGCACTAGTGCTGTAAAAAACAGTTATTTTGATAATCAATTAATCAAGAGATTATTATTTTTGATTAATGGATTAGTTCATCATAATGCAGATGCAATTGTTTTTATCTCAGTCTGACCCAGGTAAAGCTGAAGTAAAGCCGTAGAGGGAATTCTAATAGCCATTTTTTCCCAGAATTGTAATTTATTAATGTTAAGAGTAGTTCCATCCATCCATCCATTTTCTTCCCCTTAATCCATTTCTGGGTCGGGGGGGTGGCAGTCAGAGCTGCACCCAGTCACAGAGCACCAGCCCCTCACTGATCCTCCTACAGGTGGTGAGTCCACAGGAGCTGAGATCTTTCAGTGGGGGCTTCAGGCAAACTGGTTTTAAGTGTCTTGCCCAAGGACACAACGACAGCAGTCATCAGTGGGATTCGTGAAGTAGGTCTTGAGGTGGGCTCGAACCCACGACCTTCAGGCTCAAAGGCCAATGCTCTACCAACTGAGCTACTGTTAAGAGTAGTTAACATTAATAAATAATTAACATAGTAGTTGATTGTTGGGAGAACAAAAAAACTACTTTAACTTTAAAGTTTCAAATTAAAGCAAAAAAACAAATCCATATCATGCTTAAAGGAACAGTATGTAAAAATCTGGCCAAAAGTGGTACTGCAACCAACGATAATAATAATCAACACAAATCCATAAAAAACACCTTTTTCACAAATGTTGTATTTTCATTACGTGTTATGTCATTGATGATTTGAGAGCCCCTTATTTGTACTGCGGCCACATGTTACTTTACCAGTGAGATTAGCTCGACGCGGTGAGTTCTGGCAACCCGGATCACGGACTTTCTGATTTGTAAAACAGTGGAGGGGCGGGACATCAAAATCCAAACAATAACAAGATATAGGGGCTGTAAAACTTATTTTGAAATTCAAATATATCAGCTGAGCTACTGTTAAAGAAGTATTCGAAAAGAGTATGGTTTATTAATGCCTTTTAACATATTAGGGACATTTAATGATGACTTGATTGGAAAATCTTCTATACTTTATAGCTGTGAAAACCTGCACTGGGAGAGAAAAAAACCTGGGGGGGGGGGGCATGTGCTCATCCTAATGGGTTGTTGACATGTTTTCATAGAAAGATAAGCTTCTAAAACAATGTGCTGGAGTATTGTTGTTTGAAATGTGACATATTGTAATGCACAGTATAAAGCTCTATTCGCACAGGATTAGTATAACCTGTGGACCCCTGGTAATTTGTGATAATCGCGGAGGACGTCGGAGATCTTGCAGTGCATTCACACGGGATAACCAATGTCTGTAGTTTTCACTGTGGCCGCACGTTCGAGAGTCTCTCCACGCAGGCCATAGAGTCTCGCGTCTGACCACAGCAGCCACAGAGACCATGAGGACAAACACATACACGTGGATTTTACTGTTCTACAGTTCTCTGGCCCGTACTGTCTTTAATGTTATACTTAATGTCTTTAAAGAATAATGTTTGTACGGACTACCCATGAACGCACCAGATACTCTGCTAACATACGCGCGTGCAGCAGTAACAGCTGCATCAACACGTCTGTATTGTATTAGGACAGAGTGCAAAGTACAGTAGGTCCCATTCCGTTTTGTCGCCTTTCACGTGTGAATCACACGAGACTCACGTGTGATTCACGCGTCTTTTATTTTCCCCCCTCCCAGTGACGTTGCAATGACCAAAACAACCACCAGGTGGCACTTGTGAGCAGGGTTACATTGGCGAGTTTCTGCCCCGCGCACATCGACAATCTGGTTAAAACGGGCAACTCCTTGTAGCAGGCCAGTCTCTGGAATAACCCGCAGACATTAAAACTACTGCATATAACGTAAACTTTTGCATCACGTTGGTGATCTTTCCAAAAAGAGAGAATATCGTTATGGAAAGAGAAACTATTGGTAATATAACGCTGAACGTTATTTGACTCAAACAGCTCCGCTGGTGTCTCCTCCCACTCAGAAAAAAAGCAGACGCCTTTTCTCTGGCATCTCTAACATTTATAATAAATACATAAATATAACAAGAGTAGAGTAGCTTTTGATTAGTATTTATTATTTATTATTGCTTTTTAGTACATCTATTTATGTTTTTAGACACATTCTATTTGTATTTATTTTTATCATTTACTATTTTTAATTATTTATTGTATCTACCCATTTACTATTGTTATTATCAATATTAGGCAGCTGCCATTTTTCTTTTTATTGTCACATTTTATTGTTAAATATACAATATATAATGGAAACACTTATTTCGATATAGCGGAGGAAGCCGAGCTGAGCTTTATTCAGTGAGTTTTGGCTGCGCTTCGTGTGGAGACTTGGGAGATACGTGGGAGAGGCATGGGGGAGAGACGGGGGAGAGACGGGGAAGAGACGGGGGAGAGACGGGGGAGAGGCATGGGGGAGAGACGGGGGAGAGACGGGGAAGAGACGGGGAAGAGACGGGGGAGAGACGGGGGAGAGGCATGGGGGAGAGACGGGGGAGACAGGCAAGACCCGTGTCTATGGTTCTGTGCGCGCGTCTATGGTCCGCGCTCGGTACATGAACACGCGCGTTCGCGGAGCTGTCAAAGCAGCCACAGTTTCTCCCGGGGTCAGAGAGGATGAGAGCCGCAGCAGAAGTCAAGACATTAATATATCTCACGTAAATCAAAGTGTTGTTTACTTCTGTTGCCATGTTGACATACTAGAAACTAGTGAATAAACGCGCGAAAATAGTGTATACTTATTCGAATATGTCTTAATGGAAACGGCCGCTTTTGCGAATTACAGGTTTTTCGAATTTTGAAATGTATCGAAAAAGTTTTTGCGCATTATTCAATGGAAACGCAGCTACAGAGAACATGCCAATTCCACACAGAAAAGCCCTGTCCCGACCGGGATTCAAACCCAGGACCTTCGTGTCAAGAAGCGAGAGTGCTATCCACTCAGCCACCGTGCCGCACACACTGTGACCCAGAGGGGAAACTTAATGTTTCTAAGACTGACCCAGAGAATATACAGGGCTACTTTGGCTTGGCCCTGTCGATTACGGTTGGTAAAAATAAATATTGTCATTTGCTTCTGTCCTGTTAGTCAAAATAAAACTTATCACAACTGAATAGTTTCTCCCTGTAAAACTAAAGCTCATTTCATGGCTTTGGTCATCACATACAAAACTGTTGAACTCGTTCAAAACCAAAATCTGTCAATCTGATTTCATACAATACTTTATCTTTTTACATCCTGAACATTTTTCCTAACACGACAAGGTGTGTTTTTTTATTGTTTACATTTGTCACAGTTCTAACATAATGATTGTGAGATTTCATAACACTTTTAAGCAACTTTTGTTAAAGTTAAACTCATCATTCTATCAATGTGCAGAAGCCTGTACTTTTCCCTTGTTTTGTCTATCTGAAGGCCAAGCTACATGGCACTGTGGAAGCTGCTGATTGGAGGTCTCCATGCCTCCGCTCTGTATAATACACTTGCATTCTGTTGTATCTGTTGTTCGTGCTGTCTCTACCATCGACAATAAAACATGTCTTCTGTCAGAATTAAAGACGCGATCCCAGACTTTGTCATCTTCTTCAGGTGGTGGAGGATGCGGGCATTGTCTGTAACATCTAGAGAACAGAAGACTTTTTTTTTTACACAAAAATGTGTTTTTTTTTTCAAGCCATAACTGAGAAACCTCAAGAGAATGCATCTGGATCAGCCCATGGACAATCTGCACAGCCCCTGATTCCACTCAGGCCTGCTGTGAGCTGCTGAGACATGGACAACACCAGCGTCCTCTTTTGCATGGACATCATTTGGAACAATTGGATTACAAAATTTGGACATAATTTGGAACAATCTGGATTTCTGAATTTGGACATAATTTGGACTGAATTGAATTGCTGAATCTGGACACTAAAGCTGAAACGTGCGATTGAAAGACACGTCACAGAAGAATTCATGGCTCGACACAAATGCAGCCTGAAGAAATCAACACGGAGAAGTGGGAGAGACTGTTTTCAAAGCAATATCTGAGAACCATCAACTGATGAAGTTTGGTATTTTACTGAAGATTGTTGACAAGTTTAATGAAAGATCTGAAAATGTTTTATGAGTTTTCTGAGTTTTTTGAAGTACCGAGTGAAGTACCGAGTTTAAGTATTGAGTTATGATGTTATGTTGCTGTTTATCGATCCTGATGGTCACACGTGAATGTGTGACCAGAGGGGGGAATGTGAGATTTCATAACACTTTTAAGCAACTTTTGTTAAAGTTAAACTCATCATTCTATCAATGTGTAGAAGCCTGTACTTTTCCACTTCATGTTTTGTCTTGTATATTTTCGGCCGACTGGGCCAGCCTTCATGTTTTGTCCTCGCTGTGCCAGGAGGTCTCTCCACTAGCACAACCATTCTTCATGTTTTGCATTAGCATACAGCACTGGATCCACACCATGATGTGTTATTATATAGAACGCTCCACGCGGATTAGGCAGGTGCGTCCATTTTTCGCTTTCATGTTTTGTCTCCCCGAGGGGGGCACTGGGGGTGGCAAGGATCTTTTTAGAGGTGGCAGTGGCACCCTGGTACCCTCTGGCTCGCCACTGCCTTGGGCAACCAGACCTCTCCTTCTCCGAGCGGGAAAGGATGTCTTGACGATAGCTGGATAGACCCCCCCCATGTTATAGCCAATGCGGCAACAGGGTGTCGCATTGGCTATCAACATTTGGGGGGGGGGGCCAATTGTCCCCCATAAATTTTTTTTTAGGGGGCCCTGAATAGTCGCTCTCTTCTGGGCCAGGCGCTCAGTGGAGGACCTCCTGTCACAGGCGAGACCACCTCGCGGCGATTCTGCGCATGTGCAGACGCTAGGGTGGCGGTGGCGGCTCATGGCTGCAGCCCCCCCCCAAAAAAAATGTCGGGGCCAGGCCACTTTGGCTGTGGCTGGTATATCAGGGAGGCGGAGAAGTCGGCACTAACGCTGGACCTGCCCTCTCTCAGACGTCCCTCTATCGGCCCGGACATGCAGGCCTTGGTTGGCGAGACTGGAGCTGCAGCCAACGACTCGCTATGGCTAGCCCCGCACTTAGCACCGGAGGCGCGAGGCCCACAACCTCCACGGAGCCGGGACAGAGGCAGAGAGCGTTCGCCCGGGAGGCAATCCTGACCCGTATCCGCGCTCGGTTGTCCATCCGTCCCCCCCTCGACGAGGCCCCGGGTCCCAGACAGACCACGGTGGCTCGCGGGAGCCACAGCACACCGCGACCTCCCTATGGCAGAGGAGGTCGGGGGTGGAAAGTTTTCCTTCAATAAGGTCCGGCCGGCATTTCATAATTACTTGTTTCTAGCGGTCTCATTTGGGGGTATGTACATGTCAAATTAATGTGAATTCTTATTGTGTTACTTCTCGAAGCACATAACGTTTCGCTTCGCAAGCCTGCAGCCCCAGAGCAGGGTTTGCAGTGCGCTACGCGAGCTACGAGCTCGGCCTACTGATCATACTATGCCCTCCCAGGAGAGAGGTCAGGCGGAGGGATTGATGAGTAGGTGGTGAGTGTGCTTCGGACGAACGCGTGTTTAGCATCTCTGAGCTACAAGGCTTTAATACGGGGTTCCACTCCCAGGGCTGCCCCCCCACTCCTTGAGGCAAGAGCCAGGGGGGGCACAGCAAAACCGAGTCACGAGGGATGAGCAGTCCCGTACTTAAGACGTAGGGCCTGCAGGACATGTGAACGCCCCCGGCGATCACGGTGTGACGCAGGGGGCCCGGCCTTTCGTCCACCCCCCCTCCCTGCGAGAACACCAGGAGAGGGCGGGGACAGGACCGTCTCGAGTTCCAGCTCCCGTTCCGCCCCTCACAGACTTCTACAGCATCAGGAGGGAGCAAGTTTTGCTGACAGATCTATGGGCTGGAGAAAACATTGCGCAGGGGATACCGCTCTGCAATTCTCCGAAAGCACCACCATCGCATGGCGACCGGTGACGCGGTGTGGGGCAGGGCTTCACCTCCTGTCTCTCAGGCGCGCACGTCCGGGGGTCCGAACGTGGGGAGCCGACGGATGTCCAGGGGGGGACCACTCCAGGGAAGAGTGGGGCCTGGCCCCACGGGTCAGCTGCGGGAGAATTGGCGGAGGTTTCGGCCGTCCAGTGGTTGACCTTTTCGCCGTGCAGAAAAGCACAGTGCCGTTGGTTCGCCTTAAGGGCCGCGGACGCGCCCGCCATTGGCATGGGCGCTCTGGCTCATTACCCCTGGCCAGAGGGCCTGCTGTGCGCTTTCCCACCAGAGCGTCTCCTGCCGGTCCGGCTGCGGAGGATCGATCAGGAGAGGAGGGCGGTGATCCTGGTGGGCTCCGGCCGTCCGCTGGTTCCCCTTCCTGAGGGGCATGGCGGTGATGGAGCCCTGGGCCCTCCCGGACGAGACGGGGGCTTAGTCCAGGGGGGGTAGGAACCCTGTTTTCACGCCCGATAATCGGCCGCAGGCTCTGGGGGTTTGGAGGCTGAGAGCGGGAACTCGTAGGACCTGGGTCTTCCCCCAGCGGTGTGGAGACCATTCAGGGGGCGAGGGCGTCCTGTGAGGGCACTACGCACGAGGTGGGGGGGGGGGGGGGGGGCCCACCCCAACCCCCCCCCCCCCCCCCCCCCCCCCCCCCCCCCCCCCCTGAGGCTCTTCAGCGACTGGTGTGGTTCTCGTTCCTGGGATCCAGGCGTAGCCCGCTGGAGGGGGTCCTGTGATTCCTACAGAAGCTTTTTGACAAAGGGAGGGCTGTTCGCCACCATGGCGGTGTTCGCGGCAGCCATATACATCGGGACACGACGATTCGGGGGGTTCCCAGCCGTTCTCTATCCGTTGGTTAAACGTTTTCTGCGGGGGGCGCGCAGGAGGCGGCCCCGCTCCTAGAGAATCGCCCCCGGTTTGGGACCTCAAGTGGTCCTTAGGGGCTGTCGGGGGTCCGCCTTTTGAACGGCGGCGGAGGCGAGTCCCGTGTTTGTCGCTTTTTTTGACGGCCTCTTGCTGCCGTTGGCGTCTGCTAAGAGGTGCGGGCGACTTGTCTGTGCGCTCTCCGTCGGTCTTGCTGATCCTGTGGAGAAGGGCGACGGCATGTTGGTATCTGTGCCCAATCCGCTTTCTCCCCAGGTCATCCACGTCGGCTTTAGGTCGAGAGTCCATCAGTTTTAGGGCTTTTCTATCCGCCACCGGAATGCCTCCCCCGAGGAGGGAGCGGCGGCACCTCTGTGTCATTTCAGAATGCTGAGGCATTATTGGCCATGACGTCGTATTCAGGTTTGTGTGTCTGGGCCCCCACGACACAGGGGCGCCCCGCTGTCGGCCCCAGCGGCTGGCCGCCATGGGTTGCACGCTGTGCGGCGGGCGTATCAGACGCAGGGTCTGGCCCCCCCGGTGGGGCTTCAGTGTAAATTAAGAAGGTCGCATTCCACACGTGGGGTGGCGGCCTCGACGGCCCTCCCAGGGGGGGGTCGTGCGAGGACGTCTGCCGTGCGGCTTCTTGGGCGGTCGTCTCTTCTTTCGTCCGGTTTTATCTTTTGATGTGTCGGATCCGGTCGGGGCCCATTCCGTGCTGAGTGCAGCGGACTGAGTTAATAGTTAGGTCCTCCTCTGAGGGGGCCTCGGGTTTGACTTTCCGCCTTGTTCAGGAGCTCTTGGGAGAGGTTCCTACAGGTGCGGTACGTGTTTGTTGTTTGGTCGTCAGTGTCCCGTCTGTGTCCCACTATCGATGTCCTAGGGACCGTGAGCACATGACGTAGATTTAATAGTTACCTAATGTTAGCTAAAGTTCTCTGAATAGTGCGTGAGTCCCTTAGCTACGAGCCCATAGGCCGCCGGTTGGCAGAGTAACGAGGGGGTGCGGCTGTGCGCAGGGGCGGGCCTTTATAGAGGAGGGTGGCTAGGTGATTGGAGCCAATTATTTTGCACGCTCGGCGTGTGACTGGGGTCACGAGCGATATCCCACTAGCGAAGTTCCAAAGGGATACGCACCTATTCGTAGAACTCTAAGTTACATAGGTACTATTAAATACTTGCATTTGCTAAAAGAATCATTAGCTAAGGGGTGGTACCATTATATTGAAGCTATGCGTGTCTCTTCACGACAATAGTCTGTACAGTGACCGCATTACCACAATGCTGCAAAATCCGTCTGATATCTCACTTCATGCTCCTCCTTTCCTCACTGAGAACAAAGGACCTAAGCGACTGTAGACTCCTCCACTTGGGAGTACACCTCAGAATCAGAATCAACCCGAAACCATACACGCAACCACGTCACAGGTCCATCTTTTTTTAACACCACAAAGGAATATTGTCATTCACATTTCTGTACCAGCTTTTGGCGCTGGCATCAAACTACGTCAGTGGTTCTAAAACTTTTTGCACCAGTCCACTAGAAACAACTACTTTCTCTCCAAGTACCACCAAAAAAGACAACACTATCAGGTTGCGTGTAAGCCTAAGTATTCATCCAAGATCAGGCAGTGGGTTTCATTCCTACAGAGTATATTTAATAATGTGAGCCGTTGTAACATTTACTCATTTTCAACAGTAAAACTGTGCTTTAAATATAGAGAAGAAAAAACTAAAAAAAACTGTAATTATAATGATTCAATGTAAATTTTCATTCATTACCCAAACTGTAAAAGTCCTTGACTCACCACTGTGAATTATATCCTCGAGTGGGGATGCCTTCTTTGTCCACCAGAGGGTTTGACACGGCTGCACTTCTTGTTAATTTGGCTTGTCTGCTGGCTCTTACCCAGTACATCTGCATATACTCACACAAGAGATGTTGGTTATATGGTTTGGGGATCAATGATCCTTTTGTTGTTCTCTGTTCCCTTTTGCCCGCACAGAACTTGGGAAAATAACTTTTGTATATTGTTACGACCGGCTCTAGGCCGTAACATAAACAGAAGGGTGAAGAGACACGGCAATGTTCAGACCCTCGTAGGGGGCATTTAATTGCTACTCATTCCAGAATTAGAATCCTTTTACATTGCACGTAGTAACAGGAAGTCACGACTTGGAAATTGTTCGGCTCAGATGCAACAGACAGAGAGAAATAATAAAAATAAAAATAAAGATAAAAAACACTTCTAAGGAATACCATTAAATTTAGAATAGAGTTAACGTTTACTTTTAACAAATATAAAAGTGCACATGGTGCACACAATGTAAGGTGACAGCCGTACAGTGGAAGTAAAGTGACGTATGATGGGCAGTAAAGAGACTTTATAAAGGGCGGGGGGACAGTTAAGAAGTGTTCAGAGTCCAACAGAAGAGGGGAAGAAACTGTTCTTGTGTCGGGGAGGTTCTGGTCCTGTGGACCGCGTCTCCTGCTAAGGGGGAGTTGGAATAGTCCATGAGCAGGGTGAGGGGGTCGGCTGTGATACGACCAGCCGGCCTCGAGCTCGGGCGACGTAAGGTCCAGCAGCGATGAGGCTGCTTCCCAACACTACCTCTGCAGATCGCACCAATGCGCTGTATTCTCTGTTGACCAGCCTGTTGCCCAGGAACACACGCCCCATTGGTGTGACGGAGGAGGGCCCCCCCCCCCCCCCCCCCCCCCCCCCCCCCCCCCCCCCCCCCCCACCCCCCCCCGGGGGGGGCCCCCCCCCCCCCCCTGGGGGGGGGTTGGGTGTGTGCCAGAGGATGGACTCGATGATGGGCCGTGAAGAACTGCACCCAACATCTGTGGCAGGCAGCTTGGCTTCTGAGCTGCTGCAGGAAGTACTTCCTATGCTGGGCCTTCTTGATGAGAGGAGCTGATGGTCAGCTCCCTCTTGAGGTCCTGGTGATGGTGTGCCCAGGAAACGAACGGGGAGAGTCCATCACGGAAGGTGGGTGGGCGGGGGGGACTGTGCTCTTCCTGAGTCCTCTATCATCTCCACTGTCTATTGGGCGTTCAGCTCCTGTTGGTTACCACTGCACCAGGACACAGCGGTCCAACTCCTCCTGTAGGCGGCTCATCGTTCTTGGAGCATGGAGTCCCAATGAGGGAGGTGTCTATCGCGAACTTGAGCAGCTTCACAGGAGTCGTGGCTGGAGGTGCAGTGGTTTGGTGTACAAGGGAAAAGAGGCAGGGGAGAGAAGACACAGCCCTGTGGGGATCCTGTATTTATAATCCGAGAGTCCGAGACATTTTCCCCCAGGAC